TCAAGACAAGATTTGAGATAGAGATGGGTTTTCCTATCAAAAAGTACAGACATTTTGAGGTTTCTAATTCAGGTTGGGAAGTCTTGAAACTATTTGGTTGCTGAATCTTACCTATTAACTGCCTGTTTAATTAAGTAATTCTCACTTCTGTGCCTGTCCAAGCAGGACTCAGAAAATGAGAGTTTCTCTGGCCCCTGGGTAGCCTCACCAGCAGAACAGCTCTGCTCATGAAATGCAAGCCCCACTGTGAGGACCCTGCTCATGGAGAGAACATTTGGGCCACAAAATTATAAACAAGAGGCTGCTTCTTGCCTTCACCCCAAACAGTGAAAAACAGGCAGCTAACCTAGGATAAATTCACCCCAATAAACTGTTTGTCCCTAGAAATGCCCCATGGCACTCATCCTGCCTGCCTCACTGAAAATATCTCCTGGCAAAATGAGAAGTCACTTTTCCATCTCCCCGCTCAGTAAAATCCTGAGTTCTCACAACCTAAACCAGCAGCACTTCACTGCCTGACTGAAAAAAACCACCTGGTGCTTTTGGAGTTGCTTTCTGAGGATGACTGAGGGAAAGGGAGAGAAGCACAGAACAGAAGAAGAAGAGCTCAGTTTCCAGCGTCCTGTGCACCAGCTGATGCAGTGAAGCTGCAACAAGGATTTGGAGGGGAAGGACGGTGCCTGCTGGTGATGGATTCCCAAGGACTGCAAAGCATTGGAGAGCAGGGAACAGGCAGCTCTCGAGGACCTTGTCCACAAGCCGTATTTGTCAGCCAGGTGTGACAAAAGTGGTTGGGGTAAGGCTGTGTCTGTGCCAGCAAGGCCAGAGATAAAAATCCTTATCTCTATTCCCAGCACTGGGGTGAAAGAAGGCAGCCCAGGCTGAGGTGAATCTCACTGACAACGTTCTCATTAGCAATTCCCAATATAGAAAGCTTTAGGAAGCTCATCAGGCAACTAAGACATCTACAAGCTGGGCAAGCTATAGGTCGCAAGTGTTCTTTGTAGATTTAGACAAAGTGGTTCTTGCAGAGCCTTAATGATGGCAGCAGTGGAGCCAGAATCTGGAGTGTGCAGATCCAGCCACACAGCCAAGGATGAAAGGTGGATTTTGTGTGCTGAGTCAGCCCATGGTACCACAGAGGACCAACCTAGAGACACATAGTAAACACAAACATTGCCCATTTCCTCTGTAAATAAGTACTCTACTGGCTGATATTTCCTAGTAAGCTTTATTCTAGCTCCTGCCATCAGCCATGTCACACAGGTGCCCCAAAGTTATCCACTTCCAGAGACTAATCCCACATAGGTATTGTAAAGCCATATCTTCCACCCAGAAAGTTAACTTTCTTTTTAAGAACTAGAAGTTTCATGAGAGAATTCTAAATCTAACAAGGAACTGAGAAAAGTCAGAGTCCTCTTCAGCCATTTGCCTACAGACCTTGCAGTTGTGGATACAGCTGCTCGAACACCCACTCGCTCACACTTGAAGCTAAAGCTGATTGAGAAAATGTTTGTGTGCTGTGAAACAAAGTCCTGACACACTCATGGGAAATTTGGTCAAAACACAGCGAGAACACGGAATGAAGCACCATGAGGAACAAAACGGGGCAGGAATATCCCCAAATGAGAGAGTTCTGATGTCGGAAAAAAATACAGAAAAACCCATCAGAAGGACAGTATCCTCTTGTAGCTAACGAATGCTACTCCAGACCTGATGGATGTCTTTCAAACACCTAGGCAGGTTCATCTCATATTTGTCACAAACCTAAAACATGAAGAGCATTTTTAGAGCATTTCTATAGCAGCAGGTCGTCTCAATGATTTCAATGCTTGGTTCTAGTGCCATCATCTGCCTGATACCAACATCAGTTGGTGGTAATTCAATCAACATCTTGAAATAACTAGAAAAGGGAGCTATTTCAATATTGCATTTCAGAACTTCTCAAATTTGTACTGTATGCTAGCAGCAGCGTTTTGAGACATGGCTACAATTTAAGCAATTTGTAGACAATATTAAGAGCACTTAAAAGCTATCTTGCCTTCATGTAAACACGTTTTACTGCTCTTATTTCAGGAACTCCAAAGATCAACTTATCTCTATTTCATAATGGAAATTGCAGGTGCCACTAATATGCTGAGCCAATGGAAAACTAAAAGAAAAGCAGCCACACATCCTTAGGATGTTTCACTTAAGTGCAGGATCTAACAAAAACTACAACAGGATTCTCAATCCTGCCAGATTAAATGATGCCACATTCCCAGCACATTCCCACAAGAGATGCTGCACAGTGGGAAAGGGGATGGTCTGTGCTGCCAAGCAGCCCTTGCCCACGAAGAGTGATGTTTGAGGGGACATGGGATGTGTGAGCACCACATCACCAGGCCAGCCTCGCTTCCACAGCCTCCTTCCCTCCCTTCCCTCCCTTCCCTCCCTTCCCTGCCTTCCACCACTCTCTCTGCCCAGAGGAAGGCAGTGGCCACTGCTATGGGGCCACTCTGGCTGGCCAGGACACTCAGTGTAGGTGGGAATAAGCAGCTGGCTGCGGGTGGAAGAGGGCAAGTAGGAACCCCTGGCTGGGTCATGGTGCTCCCAAACCTCCACCATGTGTCTTCATGCAGGACCACAGAGTATTCTGAGTCTGAAGGACCCACCAGGACCATCAGGTCCAACTCTGAAATGAATGGCCCATACAGGGATGAACCCCCCAACCCTGGTGTTATTAACACCACACTCCAGCACTTTCCTGTGGTGAGCAGGGTTATGGCCATTCCTGGTGTCCAGGCTGAAAGGTCCCAGGTGACCCCTGTGCCCATGGCCATCACTCTCGTTACTTACCCATTTCTTGCTTACCCTTCTTCAAATCACATTGTGAATAAATGGATAAACTGCATCCATCCCGAATTGTGAAGGGCAAAATATTTCATTAATTGGGAGAGAAAGTTAGAAAGTTTACCTGACATTTTAAGTAATGTGAGAAAAAGAGGTTGCTGTCGTTTTCCCTTTCATTGCCTAGAAGTCTTGTAGTTCATTGGGAAGAGCTATTTTAAACAAACCCACATGCAATCAGCAACAATATATAGATCCAAAGTTTCTAAGATGCAAGCCTTAGATATATTTAGGAACTCACAAACTGAAAAAGGCTGAAAAAGCTCACCCTTGGTCACCAAAATTACGTAGTTTCTTCTGATGAGAACCCTTTCTCTGGTTTAAATAAGTGGTTTGTTATTTTTTGTTGTACCCTTCTTGGTTTTCTATTCTCTTATGCAATTTTTGTTTTTCATCTATTAGAATTTCCTCTCTTTTGTCACAGTACACACTTCAGACTTGAAGCACATTTGTGGCATCAGGAAATCCCTTCAGAAATGCTGTCAGTGCCCAAACACAAATGCCTGTATGAGCACTTCCAGCCCTGCCTGAACTGATGCCTGGAAAGGCTGATCTGGAACAGAGACCAGACAGAGCAAAAGGAATAAAATAGGTATTTATTGAAAGGATAAATGGGCAGTGCAAGAGCCTGGCTGGGGCTACACTCAAATCAAATCTCAGATGGATTCTGGTCATGAAGTTTTACACTTTTGTAAGTTTTGGTTCATCTGCATATTGGGGTCAATTGTCCAAGCACAGCTCCAAGCTATGAAGTCTCAAGCCTTGGCTTGCCCCTTTCCCTTAGCTGTTGTTTATGCTTTTTGGGCAATGGTTATCCTTGGTTCTCTAGCTGGGAAGGGATTGTTTTGTCTAACTGCCCTGTGAACAGAACTTACTAACACCTAATATGAAGTTTCAGACTTACACATTAAGCAGCAGAGAATCTGAAAAACATAAAAGCTAAAACCCAAGGCATCAGAAGGGCAGCAAAAGTCATGGGAAAGAGATGGAATTCTGCTGCACAGCAAAGCAGGTGGTCATTGCTGCTCCCATGGGATCATTTACACAAATGCCCTTCACACAGCCACAGGTGCACGGGAACCCAGACTGACGGCACTGTGGGTTCCAAATGGAGCAATCTTTATGGAGACACGTTCACCAGCTTCAAACACATGACACTTCCTGATAGCTCAGAATGCCTCTTAAAGATATCAGATTTTCAACCATTTTCTAAACACCCCACATTTTAAAATTAAGAATAATACTGGTAGATACTTTTAAAATATCAATTAAAAATTTTGAAATCTGTATACATACATACATATATATATGTATGCACATATATGCAGATGTATTTTGCATTTGCAGTTCAGGAATTCCTACCTGTCAAGCATCTTCTCTTTCTGCATTTTGAATGATAGCAGTGTGGGTTTTTATCTTCCACTGTTTTTCCTTTTATATAACTAAAAAACCTAATTCACTGAGCTCCACCAATGCTCCTGAGCCCTCTTTCACACAAAGAATCTATTTGGCAGTTATCAATCTCCCAGTGGCAACAGAATTGTATTTTTCTGTTTTTTCATCGTATTTTACAGAAATCAGAATGCTCTGAATTATTTTCTGTTACACTATTATATAAACTTTATTTAATTTGAAATCAAAATGACAATCAACAAGGGCAACCTGTCCCTGTTGAAAAGCAGCCCAACTCCTAAAGCTGCTGAAGGGATGAGCTGGCTCAATGGGAAGCAGCAGTAGAGAAAAAATTCTACTAATGGAAGGAAAAGTGAAAGAACAGAGAATAAAGCTCAGGAAGCTCTTACAGAATATTCATGGAGAAAGTAGATAAAATTAAGGAAGAAAAATACCTCATATCACTTCTTTACTTAACTGCTGCTGCACAATGTGAGGCATGTGGGACGAGCTGGTGCCTTTTAACTACAGAAAATTGGTAGCAGCTGTTCTTTAGCAGGGGTTAGAAGTAACTACTTCCTGACTTTGCACATCTGTGTAAAATGCCTCTCTACACAACTTGGCTTTATATACTCTCCAACAGATAAAAGTGTATCAAGTCAAGGAGCCTGAAAGTGTTTATTTTCACTTACCACGAACGCATTAAAAGTAAGCCACCATTGTTATTCTTGTCAGTTCTTTATTGGTTTTCATCCTAAAGACTAGCACATTTACAGCATACATGGATTGGATGAACTAGAATATATAAAACAGTAGCCATATGTTTATGATATATTAATACTGCCCAAAACCAAATAAATAAAAATATTTCAATGCACAAAGCTTGGCAAATACAGTTGTGTTGGGACAAAACTGTGTCATATTATACAATAATTTTACACGTATAAATGAAAAAAAGGCAACTGTGCTGTAGGTACTTTCACAGAACATACACAGAACATACTCGGCAACAGTTTTCTTCTTTTACCTTTGTATGTTTTATAATTTAAAAAATGTACTCAAAAAAAGGAACATTAGACAGAACTTCATTTTACAGTAATCCTTAGATTCGTCTCTCCTGTGCAACAGAAAAGCTCCCTTCCCCCTTGTGAGGGTCCCATGTGGATGTCACATGTCACAGTTTTCTCTGGAGGAACCGCTGGAGCCCTCGCTGCCCTCGGGAGGAGCCCGAGCCGTGTCCAGGACACCTTGGGGACACCTTGGGGACACCGTGCCTGGCAGCTCCGCTCAGCGCCCCCGGCACAGCCACAGTGGCGCCGCGGCTGCAGCTCCGCCGCGCACAGACAAAATCCAGCAACTTTTTCAGATTACATCGCTATACAAAATAAATAAAGGATTGCTAAGCTCTACAGCAGGTCTAATGATTGCTGGCCACCACCTAAGAGAGTGGCACTGCTAATTGTTGCAAGAGACATTTGTTATTTCCTTCTGAAGCTGAACACTGGGAGATTTTTAGTGTAACAATACAGGACTTAAAATTAAACATGTTTGAAATAGACAAAATAAAATTATCAACTCATAAGAACTAAGGGATATAAAGAGCATAGTTTATACAAAAATAAAGTAGCATTTAATAATGGGCCAGGGACTGAAGGCTGAGTAGAACTAATGGAGTAATATGTCTAAAGAGATCCCATTGAAAAATTTTTCATTGTATATTTGTTTACTTATTAGCAAACAATAAAATAAAATCAACATTTATTAATCGGCAAATGGGGTTTGTAACATTTCCAAGGGACTGTTCTACTGTAGATGATTTGTTCAGACCTGGTGTAGGTACTACAATACATTGCTTTTGCACAGAATTCCATGTTTTGTTATCCTAAAGAGTCTGAAATAAAGGTAATAGCCTAGTTCAGCAGAACTCTCTGACCTGGCTTAGTGACATGCTGCTCAGTGTTAAACTGCAAAAAGCAAAATGCAAAAACTGCTGGACCTGTAACCCCCAAACCTACATGGGAGCAGAATGAACATGGCTGATTGATAGAGCAGTGACAGCACAGACAAACATCAGTGAGAGGGAGAAAGAAATCAGAAAACAGCCATATACTTACCTGGCTGTTGCTACTCTCACAAGAATAAATGGGCAGATTTTTTCTATATCTGAAACTTAGATCCTCAGAAACCAAGAAGGAAAGGACAGTGTGCTGAATGAAGCTAGCTAAAGATTACTTGATCTTGTTAAAATTTGGAAATGAACGTTCAAACGCTATCTTAGCTTCAAAGGCATTCTTTGGGAGATGGTTTCAGAGGAGATCTGTTGAATATTTTTTATCAAATGCTATCCAACTGACCACCTTTGCCATAAGCTAGAACCCACCTGTGGTTCTCAGGCACAAGCAGTAGCACTGAGCAGTACCTCTCTAACAAAACAGGGCATTGCTACCTTCCTCAGAAATACCCTGACACTGGTCACACTTCCCCCCACCAGGATTCTCAACAGGTGAAATGCAAAGGTAAACAGAAATCAATTTTGATTTTGAAGTGAGGGAGATGCATTGGGCACTTTGACCATTTTTGTTATGACACACAAAACTGATACAGAAAAATCGTACACTGACCAAAATAATGTAACGCCCCGAGATACTAATGCTTACAAACCAGGAGTTATATAAAAAAACCCATGGGTAAAAATGTGTTAATTAATGTACAACACCATGGAATATACTGAACATGTCACGTGCAACATCAGCAATTTGCTTGCTGCACTTGCCTTAGGGTGGGGAAGGGCATTGGGAACTGTTGCTGGCATTAATAGTTAAGCATGATGTTTCTGAAATACTTTTAAAAATCAGTTGTGTGCCCAAGGCCTTATCTGCCAAAGATGATAGGAATTTGTTTTATTTTAATAGAATTATAAACCAGACCTCATATGTCTGGCCTTTTATATGTTGTTAATTTCATACATGAAGGTGGCATCCTATGTACAGTAAAACAATTCTTTCTCCTGGCTCTTATTGTGCTGATTTTTTTTTTAAATTAAACCCCCTTTTATTGATTGCAACAATGCATTCTACAGTTACTAAACTGTCTAAGATCCTTTTTATTTACAACTTTTAAGTTTTACTCTCAGTTTTAAAAAGTTTAGGAAAAGCTCAATCTCAAATCAACTCAGTATAAAAAGATGTTATGGAAACAGCTGCCTGAATGCCGTTCCTAGAGTCCTTGCCCATCCAGGAGGTACCTAGCTATTTGCATATAGGTAATTATTAAGTAGCACAATATCTGCTCATCTTACATACACTGAAGGCTATTGAAACGGGCAGAGTCATCACACTATTCTCAAGCTAAGGTGTCAGAATAATTGTTACTATAGATTCCAATTCAGTAACATGCTCTGTATGACCTAGCGAAACGTACAAAAAGGTTATTTATCTCTTCTGGATGATGAAATCATGTGTTAATCTAGAGTGTATCCACATGTTTTAATGGAACAGCAATTAAAGGACATAGTATGTTTATGTTTCAACTTTTCCATAAGTTCCTTCTGGAGGCCTGTAATACTTTGGGAAAGCCTTCAGTTGCAGGGAATTAAATGCATACTTGCGACATCCAACATTCTTCATTGTATTTTCTCGGCGACAACCCTCACTGGGGAAAAAAAACAAGCACAAAAAATGACAGCAGTAAAAGGGAAAAAAAAAAAGAAAAAAGACTTAAAACTAAGATGAAATGAACTGGTTATTTTATAGCATTAAAATAAAGTTGGTTATATTTAATGAGCGTTTAATTAATTTGCCACTGCAAATATTAGAAGAGATGACTCATCATACAATGCTGGTAAAAAGCACACAGAATGGACACAAGCTATGTCTGATTGCTAGTTTTGCATTTCTGGAAAGCAGCAGCACATCTACTGAAAAGGTTTTTTCACGCCAGTTTCATGTATTTCAAGGTACACTGTTGTGGAGTTCACATTCCAATCACTGCACAAGGGATCCCAAGGGATTGCTTAAAAGCAGTTCTGCTAATTTATTAACACATAAAGCTGAAAACCAACACCTGCTGATCTCTCTATAAGAGCTTTAAATTTTATTGTTCCCTGTATTTCAGTATTATAAGTATACTTAAATATTAAAGCTGATACAAAAATAATGTTTTCAGTTATCTCCGCATGCATAAATGGACGTGAAAACCAACACAATCTAAAAAAAATCCTAATCATGAAATAGCAGTGCAAAAAAGACTGGCTGCATTGACAGTCATCACCCCAAAGAAACAAAGCTGTGCAGAATTTAATTTTCACACAATGTTTTGGTGCAACTGCCCCACGTTACAAAGAGGTTCTGTGCTACAATAGAAAACTACTCCAGTTATAAGGCTTCTTTACACTTGTAAATCTAATTTGGAATTCCTTTGATTATATCCAAAAAAACAGACATACAAAGAGGAAGCACTATCTTTTAAATATATATTATAAATCAATTTAGGCTTGCAGGAGAATGTCTTTCCCTGATTGAGGACTGGAACCTAAACAATGAAGACTTAGACCTTCATGGCAAAGTGTACAGTACAGCATCTTACAGTGGAAATGTCACATTAGTCCTGCCTTGGAGATGGCTGCAGCATTTACAAGGTAAGCTGTGATCATCTGATTCAAAAGGAGGGTTTGGATTCTGGTTCAGCTTAAAAGCTCTCGTGCTCTTACAGACCTCACCGTTCTTCTAATTTTGGTTCATGAAACAGGCTGTCACTGTGTTCTGTATGTAACACCTAGTTTAACTTCATAAAATACAGTCTTTTTCTTTTTTTTTTTTTTTTCTTTTCTTTAAGTTTGAAATTTGTCTCTGGAGCACATTCTGTGCTTGCCTTTTATAGAATGGATCATCTGTGATGACACTGTTTTTCTGGCACTGGTTTGTATTTCACAAAACTCCCCCGACAGCTCTTGCAGCCAAATAGATACATCAAAAGTTTGCACAAATCATACTTCAGAGTACAAATAAAAGCAGTAAGTTTAACTAGCAAATATGTGATGCTAGGTGAGCATTTTAACTGCAAAGTGAATCATTCTCTTCATAACACATTTCACTGCATCTGGTTATTGCATGTGTCCCTCATGGCACAGATATGGTGACAAGGATATATTTCCCACATTTTACATGCCATCTTCCTTCTCTTGGAAGCACATGAACAGCATGCAATACTGCATCTTAAATCTGAATACCTTAACAAAAGCACAGGTATTTTTTTTCCTTTTGGAGTCTCAAAAAGAAAAAAAAACCCAACTTGTCTCCATCAAAGTTTGAGAAGAAAAGGAAAAAACCTAAATTGTTTTCAAAAATCCTGGGCTTTCATTCCAAACAGTATTAAGGTGGTTTTATTGCAGCACCACCAAACTCTAAACAGATTAATAATCTCAGGGAGTTCAGTGAATATGCCTGCCACCAGAGTGTGGCTGGACACTGGAACAGGCTGCCCAGGGAAGTGTTTATGGCCCCAAGTGTGCCAGAGGGCAAGAAGAGTTTGGACAGCTCCCTCAGGCACATGGGACATGGCTGTGGCTGTCCTGTGCCAAGCCAGGAACTGATCCTTGATCCTTGTGGATCCCTTCCAACTCAGGATATTCTGTGATTCTAAAGTTACTTTCCCATCTGGTTAGACTGAAGCCAGGACACTCCTAACATTGCAAGATCAAGGCCACAGTCCAACCTGACAGCTGCACCCTTTGTAAAAAGGTAAATTGGGGCACCCCCAGCAAACAAACCAGTGCTAAGCATAAAGAACAGATGATTTCTATGGAGACACAGCAGCATCAGGTATCACCACAGCACAGGAATGTGCACCAAACCACCACACCATGATAAACCTCAACAGCAGCAAGGATATACCAAAACTCATTGCAACTAAAAATAAATAGGATACGTGCTTTATATATAGATATATAAACATGTATGTACTTGTGGTGTTTTTGTGTTTTGTTTTTTTCTTTTAAAAACAAAATTGGAAGAATAGTGAGGAAAAATATTCAGAGATAGTGTACTGTACAGTCTGATTTCATGAAGACACAAATATAATCACACACTTTTTTTTTTTTAGTTAGAATAATAAATCCAAATTTAGGATTTAATTCTGATTTTTATTCTAACTGTGCTTTTTTGGTTTTTTATTTCAGCATATTTCTCTCAACAGCTCTCAATTCCAATAAAATTTATAATAAAAGCTAAAGCTACCTATATTTTTTCAGCAAGTTAATAATAGTAGAAAATACAAATCACAGTACTAGTTGTCCTCAGAAGCCCAGTATCATCTCAGGCACCAAGCGAAGTAAAATCCTTTATGAATTTATCAAACTACATTAAATGAGGTTAGGTTTTTTTATCAGCTATTGCTATTGACAAGCTCTGCCAGACCACAGCATCAACAAAATCTTTCAGTTTAAACAGGCCTCCCCTAGTTTGATGTTATATATAAATGATGATCAAATTTCATCTGCAATTACTCTGCATCACTAAACTAGGAAGCCACTTTAGTCTCACCACTGAAATAAACGTTAACTTACCATCGCTCATCACTAAGTCACTATCAGCATCATAATTTATTAAAGCTGTGCAACGCTTAAAAATGGAAGTAACAGTAATATTTAGTCTAATGTAATTAAAATAAAGCCCAGTGGAAAACCTGAAACCCACCTACTAAAGGAGTTAACTGATACCTCCCTCTTCTTACCTAAAAATTAAGGACCATTATCTTTAACTTCTAGGATGACCCTATTTCACAATCAGTTCAATAAAAGAGCACTTAAAATAGATAATGGATTATTAGCAGGCTAATGCCAGTCACATCCCCTTCCTGACCACAAGTCATTTTCCTCATGTCTTTAATACATTGCAAAATGCAGATCTACAAATAGAATGAAATAATTCTGCATGCATCACACTGCAAGTTGTTTTCTGAGTATTTTCTAGTCTATTAGAATATATTTAACCATGAGAAAGGAACAAGACTATGGTTCTATAAACTGTTCAGTAATGTAATTTAGATATTATGCTTTGAAATGAAGGTATAAATTTGTTACTTCTTTAAATAAATTTCTTATAATTTCTTATAAACCCCACCCGTGTTTTTATTTTTCTCTTCATACCTCATAAAAATGAAAGGCAAGATTAGCATACACCTCAAATATACAAAAAGATACAAATTCTTTTCAGACAGAGTTCCTTTCTCTGGAATACATGAAACGAGTAACACAAAACTGTATTTGGTAAGAGATCTTCAGGCCGGCTAAAGTAACGAGGTAACAGGCCAATGTCAGACTATGTTACAAGCACTGAAAGCAGAACAATACTTTAAAGTTTCAATACAATTCTTTTTGATAAAATAATTTGATGTATATTTACAGTTTAGTACAATAGAAACGTAAAATTGTAAGGCATAATAATAATTCTTGGCAGACAATGCTATGACACATTCCTTTGTCCAGCAGGTACCAAGTGGCAATACACATTCAAGCACTTTTTTGTTTTTGTGTTTTTTGTTGCTTTTTTTTTCTTTTTTTTCTTTTTTTTATTTTTGAACTCTATCTTCACTTGCAACGTAATCTGGCCACCAGGTATGCTATGCTCAGAAACAGCCACACAATCAGTAAATTGGGGCTGAGAGCTAGTAAAGGAATGGAGTAGAGGAGGCTGGGATCTAGTCTGAAATCTCGGATGGGCACCAAGCCACTCAAGTTCTTCTGGGTGACTATCTCCCGTGTTCCAATGCTGTGAAAAGGAAGAAGTTTGGGAAGAGGGAAAATAAAACAGAAAGGAAGACAGACATGCAAATGAATGGATAAAAAGAGATGGCAACACAAGGTGGTCAAGAAAATGAAAAAACATGGAAGAACGCACAACAAAACCAGAAGATGAAGTAAAGAAAGAGTGGAAAAACATCTCAAAATATGTATCAGTACAATTATAGAAATAAGGAGAGGGAAAGAGAATAAAAGAGAAAAATAAGAAAGAAGTACTGTAGTCTAGTGAAAATAAACACATGTAGGTTGAACATTAATGGTTTTCCATGTTCACTCTTTCAGATTACCAAGCAATAATACCCCATGCTGCTCTGCCATGCTTTGGCATGCTGCAAAGAAGTGGAGCTCTGAAAAGCAAGCTGAACATGAATAACCATTGTAGTATTTGACCCTTTCAAACATCTTTCCATGTGGGCTGCAGTGATTTAATTTAACCTCCTAACTACCTGTCTAACATGGTAATAAAAAAAACACCAACCAAAACCAAACCACCCATCTATTTTTCTGCTTGGACATGAATTCAAGGATATATCAATAGGCATTTTTCTGAAGATATGCTGCAAAGCCCATCTCATTGTGCATCCACTTCTTACATTGAGCACTGAAGGCTACAGTGAAGAACAACTCCTCAGGTAGCCTGCTAGGCTTTGTAGTGTGCTCTTTAATTTTGGCTCACTCTTACACCCTGAGCACTCCAACTCTATTTGTAGTTCACAAAGCAACAACTAAATGACCAAGATGAACAGAGGGATGGAGCACCTCTCCTACAAGGAAAGGCTGGTTTGTTCAGCCTGGAAAAGAGATGGCTTAGGGGGTGACTGAATTGCAGCCTTCCAGTACCCGAAGGGAGCATACAAGAAACAGGGAGGGGGACTATTTACAAGAGCATGTAGTGACAGGACAAGGGGAATAGGTTCAAAGGGAAATAGAACAGGTTTAGATTCGATACAAAGAAAAAATTTACTCTGAGGGTGGTGAGGCAGCCATGGATGCTCATCCTTGTGAATGTTCAAGGCCAGGCTGGATGGGGCTTTAAGCAACCTGGTCTAATTGAATGTGTCCATGGCAGGGGTGTTGGAACTAGATCATCTTCAAGGTCCATTTAAACTCAAACAATTCTATGATCTTGTGATTCTAAATGCAATCTGTAAGCCTGATGCTGTTAGAGCTTGTGCACTTTCTCCAGCCATAACAAACCATTCATGACCTTGATGGTTGCGTAGCCAGGTTATGTAAACATCAGACAAAGTCCTGCAAGAAATCAGACACACCCTGGAGGTGATGAAAAAGATTATTCAGATGCTGGTAACACATCAAGTCAAATGGAATTAGGTGGGCAGGGAATAAAACCAACTGTATTTCTGATTTGGATTTGATCCAAATTGGTGATGAAGACATGTTTTCACTCCTGGTGCTTGCAGTGGACAAGGGCAGATTGAATCTGTGATGCCTACAAATCCCAGTTACCTTTGTAGCAGTGGGGAGAGGGGGGTGTGTGTGATCAGGAGAATCAGCCAGTGGAAACCTAATGCTTATTGGAAAATAGTGGATAAAGGCTCAACAAAATAGCCTGGAGGAAAAAAAGTGTTTTAGAATATAGATAAAATGGAAAACAATGGGAGAAGGAAAGACGAAAGGCTAAAAATGCTAAGTTGACATTATGAACATCATATGCCACACCTCCACCATCAAAAACTAGCATAATTCTACTCAGTTTTACACAAAGATTTTACACAGACACATATGGTGGGAATGGAGGCAAGAGCTGGAAAGTGCTTTCCTTGTCACTGTTGGCCCATGCAGATGCATCCCCCTGAGGGGTGAAAAGTCACCTTTTGGAAATATCAAATATACCAAATTGTACAGTGTCTTAAATCAAAACAGTCATCAGCAGACTGCCTCTAGGAGAGGGGTAGGGTTAGGAGACACAGCAATTTCCCTTCTAATTTAGCTTGCATATGGTAATTCTCTCTGTGAGGAGAGGCTGGGGCTGCCCCATGCTGGACACTGCTGGTTCCAGCCAGCTTCAGTGACCCACTGCAGGCACAGCTGAGCCCTCAGCCATGCTGGTGCCTCGGGGAAGGAGTGTGTGAGAAAAGGCAAAGCACTGCATGGCAGTGAAGAGTGATGGGAAAAGATCTGAGAAAGAGCCCTGTGAGCACCAAAGTCAGGGAAGGAGAGGAGAAAGAGCTGAAGCAGTTTCCCCTGCAGTTGTGGAGAGGAACTATTCACACTGCAGCCCATGAGGACCCATATACAACAGATGAATATTTACTGAAAGAAACTGGAGACCATGGAGAGCCCAGGCAGGATCAGATTCATCCTCAAGGACTGTAGCACATGGGAACAACCCACACTGGAGTGGAGGAAGAGCACAATGAGGAAGGAGCAGAGGAGACCTGTTATGGACTGACTGCAAATCCCAGTTCCACATCTGCTGTGCCTTGCTCAGCATGGCAAGAAGGCAGAGGAGCTGCGAAAGCAGCAGTGGAATACTTTGGCCTGGGACAAGAAGGGAGGTAGAGGGCAAGGCTTTAATTTTTCTTTATTTCTTTATTCTTTATTTCTTAACATTCCCAATCTATTGTCAATAAATAAAAAAATTTCTTTGAGTCTGTTGTGCCAGTTCTTTACTGTAACTGCCAGTAACTGGCAGGGGATCTCCCTGTCTTTTTCTCAACCCATGAGCTTTTTCACGTATTTTTTCCCCCTGTCCTGTTGGGGAAAGGTAGTGAGCAGCTGGGTGGGCATCTGCCAAGTGGTCTAACTCAATATGATTTTATTCTTAAAGCAGGCCAATCAGTGAAAAAAATCCAACCAAGCTTTTTATCATAGCTGTTTAATTGCAGTGAGTGGTCATACCCAAACATGACTCCTAGACTTTTATCATGTAATCCTTTTAGTCAGCACAATGGTGATTTTCCTCACCTCAATTCCAGCTGCTTTTCAAGAGCCCCTATCAGAGATGGCTCTTCTCTGTTGGCTAAATTGCTTGTGTTGAACCTTCCTAATTCATTTGATGAAAATTACCTGGGCTACCCAAAGCATGTAAAGGATTTTGCTACCCAGGATGATCTTGACTGAAAAATGCCTTAGAGCATATTCCCACAAACAGCTCAACTGGCATTTCTGACAGGACAGAAATCCAGTAGGAAGAGGGAGGGCAGGGAGTCAAAGATCTAGTGGGGAGCGTGGGCTGCAGATGGAAGAGGCTCCCTAAAGCAGCTGGACTTTGACTCTTGTTCTGCCTTTACTGGTCAGGTAGCCATGTCTCTTAGCTTGGACTTCCAGACATATCATCATCATCTTACTATTTGTGAGCTGGGAGTTACTGTGTGCTTGATTTAGGACTGGAAAAGCTGTAACTTATTGACAGAAAATGAGTTAATTCTAATAGGGTATTTGTTTTTAAGGTGAAAGCCACGAACTTGGATCTGCAAATTTCTACAAGAATCTAGAAGAACACTCCATGTTCCCTTCCTGATGTCTCTGCTCACTGAACACAATTATCACCGATACACATCAAAAGACTAGGAAAGAAGTCCCTGAGGACTGGTAAGTGGGAACTAACACCTCTGAAAAACAATATCACATGGAAAAAGATCATGTTTTCTTAATTTTTTCAAGAATGGTATAAGCAAGGATGCTTTTCTTCTCTGAGAAGTTGTTGGTAGAGAAGAGATTAAATACTTTGAGTCTCACAAACTACTCGTACTTCTTCCCTGTCCTTCCAAATGCCTCAAAAACTTCAAAAGTCTTTAAGAATGAACCAAACCTTCCTTTTTCAGGACACTTAAATAAAAGATCCAAGTTAAAAGAACAAAACCCAAGTTTTCTGAATGCCCTGGAAGCAATTTGGATACAATTTGCTACCCTTTCTTATTCTCTGTCTTCTAGATCAGGTCAAACTGCCCAGGCTGGAATGGGATTTGGTGGAGTTGGACTCCTACTTATTTGTTCCATAATACTGTATCTCTCATTAAGCTTGATTAATTCTGTGCTATTGTTCCTGAATAGAATTGACAAATAATTTTAAAAACACAACCACCTTTCCCAAAGAGCATTAAGATGTGAGGAAGAATTATGGGCTTGGAGAATGGTCTAATCTTAGTTTTCCTTCTGGACTAGTCAGTATCTGACCTGCACAAGCTCTCTTAGTCAAATATTGAACAGAAGAAAAAGTCATGTCCTTCACCTGCCAGAGCAAGTCTCTGATGTCAGTAGAACACTCAAGCCAAAGGTTTTGATTAAATTTGCCCTCTTTCAATATCCCTGTGTAGGTCAACACAAAGCAGTACCTTTCTTGGGTCAATATTTTATCTGATCCTGTGTTATATTAAATTGGTAGACTGAAGGACCAAAACAATGTTATTATTAACCTCTCTCTTTCTATTGTGTCTGTGACTGTATTAAAAAAAACCAGTGACCCAGTAAAGAATTTGAAGAAAGTAACAAGATTCCCAGTATTTTTCCTATTTGATTTTATTCTTATTAAATACACAACTGTGAAACTGTATAACTGTTTCAGATGTCTACGTCAACAAGTTGTGTAATTTTAATAAAGATGTTTGAAAACCACTTAGTCCATTTTAAGTTAGTAAATTCTCCCTCACAAAGCTGTTTCAAGTTTTTTTTTCTAATATCAATGTTTAAGTAGTTTCTCAGTGCTTTTTTCATGTTCTGTATTAACTCTATGACAATGTAGCAAAAAGTGCAGTAAAAAACTGAAAATAAAAAAGTCCAGTGTCACCCAATTAGATGTAGATATAAACCCTCAAATTACTGGTGTAAGAGGCTGCAAGTGTTATTATATGAGACATTTTTCTTCTAGGTAACTGAAGAGTAAGAAAGGGTCAAACAGCAAAAACATACAGAAAGGATAAGAGAATTGAACACTCTAGAGAATTTGGTGAAAAGACACACAGTACAGTACATTCGATAAGAGTGAATGTTGAAAAACAGGACTGAACAGCATTGTTGAACTACATTGATAAAGACTAAAGCTAGATTTCTTATCCTTTCTTTTGGTATGTGACTTACGGAGTTTTCCAGCAGTGCTTGAAACAAGGCATTGAACAACAGTAAACAGATTTTGTTATTTTTTTAAGTATAGTACTTAATTCTGCAAACATCTCTGCTGCTTCAGAATACAGAACATCATTATATTGATACGACAACAGCACATTGACACGTTGTGATGAAATTTGGTTGCTCTAGTGTGAAACACTCATACTGACATTTTACCCAGTGAGCAGTGTTTCACTGCTAAAGAATACACGTGGCAAACCAGTGCAAACTGCAGGTGTCTGTGTTTCAAAGAACAAAAGAAGGGTCATCCCTGAGTAATCTCCCTGATCTAGAACTAAGAAACCTAGTGCTATGACAGGTCAGGTGAAGTCATCATTAAACAACTTTCAAAGAAGCACCAGTTTCCTGTTCTGTAAGCTCAGCATTAACAGAAAACATATTTTTACATGTTTGTCTGAAAACTCCTCATTTTCTACTGAAAACTCAAGCCTATTTGATTTAAATCTGGTAAGAACCAGAATGCATATTAGCATATGCAACTCACATGCATGGGAGGGATGAATTCTAGCAGTCAGTTCTACAGTTTCCTGACTTTAGTTTACCTTTTTTTTTTCTTTTGATGGAAACAGAGACCACCACTCCTCTGCAGTTTGCATGGTTCCTTATGTAGGAATAAGTGATGCAGTCAAACTCTTACCTCCTCATACACTCCAGAGCCTGAGTGAAGACCTGTGGAGCCATTCCATGTTCATGCTGTAGGATCAAACACTGCTCCAGGGTGATTGACATGGCAGTCCTATCCTTGGCACTTTTACAGCTCGTAAATCGAACACCATTAAGCCTGCGGCATATCTAGAAATGGGAGAGACAATCCATCACTCCTTGTACATGCATAACTTTCTATCAGAGAGAACATCTGTACCTCCCCTTAGAGAGGCACAAATGTTGTGTAGGGCATCGATGTCAAAGTTTGGCATGTTTAAGAGAGAATTGTAAAAGTTGAGGGGAAAATTCTGATATGGAAAATACATTTTATCTCCCCATGTCTTATTCTAGAGGAGGTGTAGCCTGGCAGCCTTTCATGTTACATGCAAGCAAATGAAAAAATTCAAACATATCAGTAATAAAAAAGGGGCAAATAGACATGCATACAGAAAATCAGCTGAACTATGCAGAGATGCTCAAATGAATAAATACCTCAGCAGCTTGCCAAAGGATATCAACATTCTTGTTTTTCCTTGCATGTACATTTTGACCCAGAAATCTTAACAGTTCAGGCAGGCACGTCTGACTACGAGATCGAGGTAGACCTATAAAATACACAAAACCAACTCCACATATTAATCTGTATTCAACAGATCTTTTACAAAGTGTTTCTATATGCCTGTTGCAAACACATTTGTGTTTTCTTGAAACTAGAACAATTATTCAAGTTCTGATTTACTTAGTACCATCAACAAAATAAATTCAAGCTTAATTAAACTCAACTGGAAATATAAATCCCAGTTATTTAAAACTTCAGGGACTCAGAATCTAATAGCAGTATAATAAGAGAATGAACAAAGGGAGCAAGATTGGTATAGTCTTTCAGTTTGTGTGTCACAGAGGTGACAGGAGAACATGCATGTCTTCAGAGAAATTCTGAAGATATTTTATATTCGGCTCGCATTTTTGATTTTAAATTTGCAAGCCAGTCAGCTTTACAAGAAACACCCACAGGACACCATACGGTCATGATCTGTTTATTAATATTTCACTAAGTGGAAATAAAGTAGTTGAAATTTTTCAGAGTACCTTCAATACTCATCTTCTGTGTTCAGATTGTTGTACATCATCTGTCACACATGTAGCAAGATACTCCAGACAATCAATTACAAGTGTTCAAAAAGTTGTCTTTGTTGTTGTTTCTTTTTTTTTTTTCAAAGGACTAACCACAGAGAATACCAGCTAAATTGTGACTAAATATGGAGGTATGCACTGTAACAGATGATATAGTGACAAAAAGTATCCTACCTGAGTGACATATGAGGTTTTATTCTAGCCTACGTCTCACAGCAAATAGTATATTAGACTAACCTGATCTCCTACAGGAAGGTGACCCACTGAATAGAAGAGGAAGGCTGTGGACATTGTTTACCTGGACTTTAGCAAAGCCTTAAATGCTGCTTCCCATAGCATTCTCCTGGACTAACTGGCTGCTCATGGCTTGGTGGGACACAGTGTTCACTAGGTAAAAAACCCAGCTGGATGGGCAGGCCCACAGAATGCTGGTGAACGGTGTCACATCCAGCTGGTGGCTGGGCACCAGTGTAGTTCCCCAGGCCTCAATTCTGCAGCCAGTCCTGTTTAAATTCTTTATCCATGATCTGGAGAAGGGGATCAAGTGCATCCTCAGTCAGTGGCAGATGGCACCAAGCTGGGCAGGAGTGCTGATTTATGGAGGGCAGGAAAGCTCTTCAGAGAGATCTGGACAGGCTGGATCAATAAACCAAGGCCACTTTTATGGAGTTCAGCACAACCAAGTACCAGGTCTTACCCATGGGTCACAACAACCCCAGGCAGTGCTGCAGGGGAAATGTCTTCACTGAAAGGTTTGTCAAGCACTGGAATAGGCTGCTCAAGGAAGTGGTTGAGTCAGCATTCCTGCAGGTAAATTTACGTTTTTAAAAAACGTGGAGATGGGGCACTTAGGGAGATGGTTTAGGAGTGGCATTAGCAGTGCTGGGGAAACAGTTGGACTTGATGATCTTAAAGATCTTTTCCAACCTAAGCAATTCTACACTTCTATTCTATAATTAACAATACTGTGCCTGTCTTGGTCTGGTCTGCTTGAACTCTATACCTAGAGAGAAAGTAATACCTGTAAACAGAAAGAGGGCACAGGCCACCTCCTCTTTCTAAAGACAAGGAGAGCTAACAGAACAAGAACAAGGAGCTAGTGAAGCTAAGACTAATTAATTTATTAAAAATTCTGCAGAGTTTAGAATTAAGAACACAGGGACATGGAGAGTGGGACCTTTATCCCCTAGAATGATCTGTTTGCTTTTCCTTTTGCCTCTACCTATCACTGACTACATAACTGGGCATAATCACCTGGTTTGCAGTTAAATGTACAATGCTATTCTCCCTTGATAAGGGTTCACAGAAGTGTAAGCTTCATTTTGTATGTCCTAAATGTCACCACAACTTTCAGGAGGAAAAAAAAGGCAAAAGCTAAAAGATGATTGGATCAAATATAAGAGGTTTGGGGAAGAGACTGGAGAAAAAGAAAAAACTGCGAGCAAAATTAAAGAGGAGAGGAAGGAGATGAATGGGAATTATTACAATAAAAGACTAGATGAAGACATGAACAAAGTTTATTTTAAACTGATTAATTTTTGAATCATACAACAAAGTCCAATGCTCCAATAAAAAATTAAATTTTGCAGCTAACATTCCAGAGTCTTTATTATGCATTTATTATGAATCCTGGATGGAAGGAAGCAGGTTCTGCTCTCAGCTGTATCAAAAAAAATTCAGGATAACTGAACATGTAATAACACACTTTAGCAGACAGAATTCTTACTATTCTGTTGCATGCTGTTGTATTTGTATTTCTGGAATAAAATTGCAACTATAGGGCACGTGAAATAACCTTAGAAGAGGTTTGACTGTAATAATAATGAATTGATGAATTTTCACCATTTTTGTGGTCACATGTAAATGACATGTAAATAACTTATGCCACAGCCTTCTTAAAAAAACCCCAAGCAGTAACAAGAGAGAAATTAACCAGTAAAAACAAAACTAAAAAAAAAAAAACCCAGTAAAACTTAAGCATGTAGCTTTTGTCTCTCTTCCAGGTTCTCTGTTGTTGGCTGCAGATGCAACAATAATAGGGACGTGCCAAAGGAAAAACAGAGGGAAGTGACTGAGTTCCTAAAAACTGGCAGCTGCTCTCTGCGCAGGTTTTATTATTAAATGCAGGGAGCATCTCCAAAAACTGCACATAAAAGTGCTGCTTTTAGAACCTGTCACTTTCACACCTTTATCTTACAACCATCTTGCTGCCTAACTGCATGATTATACAATACATAGTGCCATTTAGAGATGTAAAAGTAACCTGGAAAAGGAAAGTTAATCAGTCTGACCTTTAAACCTCTTGAATCCACCCTACTTTGTAATAAAGTATTAAAACAGAGTTGTATCATTTCTTGGAGGTTACTAATGCTGGTGTATCATCTACATTTCAAAAACCAACATAAAGAAGACAAATGAAAAAAATCAGCCTGAATTGTGCTGTTCAAGCAAATTTTTCATTAATTACAAAATACTTACAATCATCAGGCAAAACTTCCTTGAACTGCTCAAAGTATGAATTCAACCGCACTAAGCTTTCCATGTTAATTATTTCTTGCAGTGAGGTGTCCCCAAACCTTTAAAAGGAGAAGAAAGGAACAATTAAGCCCAAGGCAAAATGTTTCTCTTTTTCTTTGAAACAACTGCACTTGGCAATATGTCTACCAAAAATCAGTTTAAAGACTCGTTCCAGGAATTAGCTACCCATTCAAATGCCAGGTGAAGTGTAACAGAGAACTGCTGTAATGCTTCATTACATACTCATATGAGTATGAGGGAGGAAAAGGGAAGGAAGGTATATGAAAAATCTTGTAGAAAATAGTATTTAAAATTCTTCGGCTTTCATGTCTCTCTTTCAATATTAAATTCCGACCTTGAAAATTGTTTTACCTAAATTTCAACTTTTAATAATGGATTTACTAGCTTAGTTCATAAACAAATACTAACAACCATAACATCAGTAGATAGGGCTGAGAATGTTGATTTCACATATGTAAATGAAAAATATGGATCTAGGAGTAATAAACCATGAATGTAATAAATATTGTCAACAATGCCCTGATTCATCTCATCTAAATTTATCACAGAGTGCTGACATCTGTAACTGTGCTAGTCATCTTGGGCTTCCTTTGTAGTCAACAGAGGACAACAGTAATTGCTGGAATGCTTTTGTTAGGCTTTTTCTCGTTGCCCACCAGCACAGCGCACACTTCAGCCCAGTACTGAGGCTGCTGTCACAAATGCAAGTACCTGGCTTCACAGAGTGCTCTGTTGGAGCAGGGCTCCATCAATGTACTCTTTATAGGATGTGGCCATAACAGAGGGAATCTGATGGCTCTTCCAGAACTGAACAGTTTCCCTAGCAAATCTAATTACATAATTATATTTTTCAGCTTTACAGCAGCAGTGTTGCGTTGGAGTCAGTAAGTTAAGAGTCTCTCTGAATTGTTCAGAGAGAGATTAAAGTGCAAAAATTAAATTAAAGTCTTTAGATAAATTGAAGCCCCTCACACATAAGACAAAGGTAAAAGTTTAAGTTTTAGTATAAGTAAGTAAAATAAGTTTTTAGTGCTTTTAATAAGTAAAAGGTTTTAAATACCAGTGTAAAAGTTCAAGTATTAGTGAAAGTTAAAAAACATAGTCCTAGATACTAAGAGTTCCGTGAAGACTCCAAAAACATAGTTTCAGACATAATAAAGCTATAGTAAAAATATTGCTTACATTTTTCAGCTAAAACAAGATAAACCATATACATAATTTATACATAACCTGGCGTGCTAAAAAAATTAAATTCTAATACATTTTAAAAATAGTAGTCCAAGTTTGTGTCTTGTTAAAAAGTTCCTGTAAAAAAACATACATCAAAAAAAACTAACGCTTTTTACCACTTACTTTTTATACCATGTGCTTTTACCATTGTTTTACTTTGCTTTTACCTTTAAAACTAATGTGCTTCTACAATAAATAACTTTGTAACAACTATTAACTGCTTAGCTTTTTAAAAACAAATAACCCAACAAGTAGGTGCCAAAAACATCCAAAAACCCTAACCTCACAGGGTTGCATGACATAAATACTGCAAGGGTATGTTAAAACAGGTGTATCTGGCCTGTTATCCTGAATTTTGACAGTGACCAGGAGAGGGAGTCTGAGGGAGAGTGCAAAACCAAGACAGCAAATGCACAGCAATACCCAGAATGATCTCAGCCTCCAGTGACCTGTCACTCACAGAGGTCTTAAGTCACAAGGAGCACGTGTGTGCTAAATAGCCCTTGATAGATGTCCCACTGCAAATTCACATCTGAACCACATAAACCTGCACTAGTCTCAAAGCCATGACCTTCAAAGTTATGTGGCACATAAAGAAGGACCTCCTTTCATTTGGCATTTGGCAGATTCATTTAGAACAGTGTTCCCATGTTCATGAATTGGAGAAACCGAATGGCTGTTAGTTCAGCAAGAGCACAATTCTGCATCAATGTAGTTCCACTGCTGAGCTGCCAGTAAGGCTGACCTTGCCTGACTGGATACCTACTTCTCTGCTAGGGTTTGCTGCTCATTGATTCCCACATTGAAAAGAACAGGCTGAACCCTCAGTAACATTCCACTTTGAATCTCGCGCGGCAACAAATCAAACAAGGCGCTTGGCAGAGGGATCCTCACGTTAAATCCATCACTGGAAAGAAATAAACAGCTGTTAGACATAAAAATCAAAAAGCTACATTCTGAGAATGTGTTATTTATCTAAAGAGGGATAACACCTAGAATATAATATAACCATTAAAAAGCAACCATCAACCTTAGAGTCAAGACTGACTCTAAGGAACTGTCACAAATTGCTTCCAGTCAGAAAATCTATTGTAGTTCAACCATTGCATTTATATCCTCACAGACATTCAAATCAGATCTGCCAATTTCCTGACAATAGCTGATTTTTCTCTGCTCTTATTAATACTGCAATTCTTCTACAACTTGGGTAGAAAAAGCCAAGCTTTGGCATGTTCCCACTCATCAAGAATAAAGTATATTCATTGTTGTTTACCGATTTCCAGTGATGACTGGCAGCATATCAGTAGATGTATTTGATGTAGCCTGAGTTACTTTAAAGGTTACATTCCTCAAGTCCATGATTCCCAAACTCATGTCCTCCAGCATTGCCAGCTCCTCACCTAAATCCAAGAGGAAAAAGTGAATTGCATTTACTTGTTATGCACAACTTCCCTTTGTCAATTGGATGACAACAGTAGGCCATCACCCCATGAAGAAATACCACAGATAAACCAGTGCTACAGCCCAGGCTTCGCCCTTGACCTACAGACAATGTCATGGCTGATTTTTTGAGTTTAGAAAACACCAGTTCTCTAGAACAGTCCAGACTACTGTTCTTTTAAGTAGTTTATATGCTGATTTTCCAAGTTAGATGATGCTAATAAGTACTTCTCAGCATTGTCAGAGCCATGAAAACCTTTGCACTAGAGTAGCTACAAAGTATTCAAGATTTTCTGGGTAAAGCACTCCCTAACCAGCAACCAGACAGCTTTTGAGACATAGGAGTGAAACACTTCTGAATGAAGTCCTTTCCCTTTTCATATTCTCTCTTTGGTCTCACATTGTGCTGCGAGACTACAGAAGTTTCAAGAAAATTCAAAAAGTGTATTTTGGGCACAGTTTCTCCCAGCTTACCAGAACTTTCATCCAATTATTTTCTGAAAAAGACCTAAAGACCATTGTGATACATTTTAGTCTTTCTTAAACCTTTGAAATTTTATTATAAAAGAAGTACACTTCATCTTTTAAAAGTAATTCAAGTAAGTGTGAAGAAATTCAGAGTTGTCAGATAATTAAGTACTTCAGCTATGATCTAGTTTTGCATTTTAGTTTTCAAAATCATTTTGTAGCTGAACTGCAGATTTTGTTGCAGAGCCCAAACACTCACATCCTGCTGTAGCCAATTTAATCAGAATTTGCTGACTCAACAGCTATTCCCACCCCCTGGCCCCGTGCCTTTACCATAAGTGCTCAGCAGGCTCTCAAACTGTGCCAGCAAGCCAATGGTGTAGAGTTGTCTTAGAAATCCATCATCATGCAGGCAGTTCCTCAGCTTGATAATGAAACCACAAATGAGAGCTGTCAGCTGTGAGAGAGGAAACAGACAAGAATGAAATGATTCAAAATAAAAAAAGTTCTTCAGCCCCAAACAAAAATGATAGCATGCATAAGAGGTGCAATAAAATCTGTCAAACAGATGCTCTTTTCCCTTAAACATCTTCTCTTCCTTACAGCTGAAGACAACCAACCAATGAAAACCCAAAACATTCATAAAATCAGATTCAGGGCATGCTGCCTTCATCTCACAAGCTGTCTCAAAATGGGGCTGCTGTAGATCTCACACTTTTTTGTTTTCTGAACATGATCACTTTGTGGTAGGGTCTACAACTTATGAATTACAGAAGTTTCTCCTTAGAGAGTTGTTTCAGTTTTAGACAGAAAAGCAACACAGAAAAGCTAGTTCTGGGCTAAGAATTTTGATAGTATGAATAAATTACTGTTTTTCAAAAATGACATTTGAGAAAGCTTAAAAAGGCAGTATCAGTTTGCATTACACAGATTTAAACTCTCTACAAGATCCTGTAGATCTAGGACTAAGGTCAGTAATATTATCTAAGATTAATACTAGTCTTAATTCATTGTCAACAAAGGAATTTCCCAGACAATGGCCATATATTATGTACACAGGTGCATGACTTTGTTATAGAATTAAACAAAAGTTCTGATCATGATGGGTAAACATTCAAAGGATTGAGTTTAAAAATTATCTGCATCATGAGGTGAGTTTTATGCAGGAAAATTCCCTGATTTTCTCTCCATGAGATCACAGAACCACAGAACCGTTAAGGTTGGAAAACACCTCCAAGATCGCCAAGTCCAACCCAGCACCACCAACACATGCACCACCAAACCATGTCCTCAACTGCCATATCCACACATTTTTTTGAACACTTCAGGGATGGTGACTCCACCACTTTCCTGGGCAACCCACTCCAGGTCTTAACAACCCCTTCCATGAAGAAAATTTTCCTAATATCTAATCTAAATCTCTCCTGGCACAATATGAGGACATTTCCTCTCATCCTGTCACTTGTTTTACATTTTTGATATTACATTATGGGAAAAAAGCCCTGACAATGATGTCCATAATACAAATTGTTTGAAATAAATGAACAAGATAGTGATTTCATAGGAAAGCAGACACACTACATAAATGTAGTGGGGAGAAAAATTTGTTCTCTATGGGCAGTGGAAATTTTTTTTAGTGCAGACACCTGCTCATCAGTGTCTGACACAAGAGATGCCAGCAGGTCCAGAAACAGAACTTCTGTGGAAAAAAAAAGAGAACTAATTTCTCTTCCCATAGCTGGACTTCTGTCCTTAGGTACCATATGTCCTGCTGAGTTTCTCAATGCAGAAAACAAAAAAAAAGGTAACTGAGGGAGTACACCTGCTACTCACAGACCTTTTTGCCCCCCTCTTTCACATCTTACTTCTGCTTTGGCTCGGTGGCATTGGAAGGCAAAGGTTGTTTCTGAATACAGCAAGGTTATTTTTACTAGCTCTGGAATAATTTTTGTTTTCAATAGTGAATGTATATCCAAGGGGATACCTAATTTATGTATTGTCAAATGCATGTAAGTAACCAGTAAGGACAGGATAGCACAGCTTGTGAGGGGAAATCAGTGTCAGAACCTGGGAAGAGATCTGAAAAACTCCAGAAAGAGTAATCCCTCATATTTCATAGAAACCCCACCAAACATGGAAGTGAAATCAAATCATGCACATTTGGTTGCTTACAGTCTGGCAGAAGACAACATCCCTGCGATACTGAAGGCTCAGGCAGAGCCCTATTGTTGGGGCACTGTCCTGCATTAATAAAAACACCATGGCTTTCTTTGCCTTGTCGCTCATCATGGCTACACAGTCGGTGAGTGTGGTCAGCAAGGGATAAAGAGCTTCACTCCATTCACCTGGTTAAAAGAAAAAAAAAATTAGCAGCACTAGAAGCACTTTATTTGAAACAAACCCACAGTAAGAAGAAACTTCCTGTTGCAAGTCAAAGCTGTGGATAATTCACATTTAGAACTCATTTTATTTTGGCTGGATTGTTATTCTCTGCTTTGTAATAATTAGGTAACCTTACAGTGTGGTTTTTGCATGAGGAAAATACGGAGAATTTTGCTCTGTAAAGCTGTTATGACTTTCCAGACCATGTAAAGGTTACCAGAATTTGTGCCCACATAACAATAGCTGATTTGGAAATCATAACAGAAACACGAATAACTATATACAGAACTGTATATAACTGCATGTTCATTTTCAAACAAACTCTTTCACTGCACATACATGGACAGACAGTAAGGAGTCCACTGTATTACAGAAATAGGGACCATTTGCTTAGCCATTTCTGTCAATGAGATTCCTCCCAAATATCCTGCCTTTTGAATCTCTAGGCTCATAGATGTATCATTCAACTGCCTCAACAACTTGTGGATCTTTATTGCACCTCAGTGAGGCAAGATGATGCTCATCTCCTATTTGCAGCTAAGAATAATAAGGTGTTTGGAGAGAAATTAATGTAAGTACTCTTTTAATTGTTTCCTGTCTCCTGAGTTTTAAAGGCTTTAAGCTAGATAACAAGAAATACTAAACATAGTGATTTAGATGGGAGTCATACAGATTCTTGGAAGTACTTTGGAGCTTTTCTTCCACTGAAATACACAAGATATGGCCCAGAGGGATTCTCTTCAAGGTCCAGCATAGGAAGCATCGAAGTGAAACTGAGTCGTCTGAGTCCTTCTCTTTTTAAAGGGCAGGACAATATGTTTAATTTTTCAAAAGCACCAGTGCTCACAAACAACACACACACAACTCTCACCCCAGCTGGCTGTAGGAACAAGGCAATGTACAGACCAGAACCTGCATGAATGAGACACTTAAAGCCCCTGAAAGGAAATTGTTTGGGATTTTGACTCAAAGGCAGTACTAAGTCAGTAATAATAAATGTTCCTTTGATAACCAGCCAAAGAGGGGAACTCTGGAAGTCTGCTAACAGAAACATATCTGGCAAGATTAACAGAACTATCCTTTTGGCTTTTGTTCTATGTGGTAAGACAGATAACCTAACAAACTACACAAAGGGGAAGCTGTTTGACTCTGTTTCATTGCCTTAAAAAAAGCAGGAGACATCAAAAGAACAGGCAAGGAATCACAGCTTGTCTTTTAAATTCTATTAAATATTTTATCTCAAAATTAGTCAGATGCCATAACATGGCCTTGTGAACACTTAGAAAGCAAAATACAGATGATAATAACAGTGCTTCTCTTACTGAGTTTAAGAGCCTTTCTGTAAGCAAATGAGAATAACAAGAACCGAAAATATCTTCCAGCACATCATCATCTCACTGACTGTATGTACATACATGAATAGAGTTACTAACTCAGTGAAGATTCAAAACTATAGTGTATCTGACAGCACTTCATTTGAAAGTTTTGTTTATCTTTGGTAATTACAAAGTACACTGGTGAAGATAATGTAATTATTAGATGAGTTTTTTTCTCCCACCATTCATATACAATGCAGGCACTCATCCAAGGTAGTAAGCAAAAATCCTCTGTGCTGTGTATTCTCCTGGCTGGAAAATGGCCATGAAAAAACAAACCCTTGTCAGTCTGCAAAACTGTAAATTATTTTTGTTACCTACTTCACAGAGGTCTCACCTGTGTTCTTTTATTTTTTTAGTCAATGGCAGTTGTTATTAACAGTAAACAAGAATAAAACGAATTGCACTCCCAGTTTCAAATTAGGTTGGAACAAAGTAGGGGTGTTGGGGAGGCCAATGAGTTCACATAGCAAATTTTTGCTGACTATATACTACTGACTATTTCATAGGAAAACAGTGTGTCATTAAGAGAACCAAATACATAAAGCCTGTAAGATGTAACATCAGGTGGGAAAAGTTCTTGCATTTTTCGCCCTAAGAGTCTCTCTTCTCCCGAGCAATAAAATATTATTAAAACAACTGTCCTCCAAGGCCTTGAAAAGATATTTTAGTCTTTTCATATTAAGTACAGAGGGACAAGGACAGAAAAAAGAAGGTTAACACTGGGATGAGTCTCCTAAATTCTGTATCCTGAAACATGAGACTTGCAATCCCCAACACTATTTGGTGTGCATCCACAACAGAGATTTTCCATCAGCCTTGTTAATTCCTCCATGTTCTGCTTGACTTCACATTCAGAAAGACCAGCTCAACAGCACGTGTGAAAGAGCATGTCTGAAATATCAGACTCCCACAGACTTCAATGACGTTTGGAACAGGCCTCAAACCCTTGTCACCTACAACAGTTTGCTAAAACACATCAGCTGGAGAAACCAGAGGCCCTGAACAAGTGCTCTCCCATATCTGGGCATGCAAAATGACCAGATACCCCCTGCACTCTCAGGAAATAATAAACTTCTCAAAAGCTTAGGTAACTCACGTGGTGTAGTAAAGCACTGCCATTTCAAAATGGTCCATCTTAAAGCAAGGCACTTGTTCACTTAACAAAGAACAAACCCCTGCAGTTTCCAGAAGAAGCAGAAGCCATGAATGCACATACCTGGGGCAGATTCTTCCGGAGTAGGGCTGCAATCTGCACAGAAATGGAGGGGCAACATGCATGATTAAGGAGCAGCAACACAGTCTAAATACAAGCAACTCAAATGCTCAATGCCAGGGTTCTCAAACATTTTCACTGAGTGAAGAGGAGCTCAGCAGAAATACTTTGTGCCCACAAGCATGGAGAGCACGGGCTGTCTCCTCCACTCCATTGTTCTGATCAGAGGAACACCCGGATGGGGACTTGGAGGAAAGCCAGTACCTGCTAGCTCAGAGGCTTGCTGTGGATCACCAGCAAGGGCACTGTCAATCCCCAGTGATCCACAGGGCACCATTTGAGAACCACTGGTTTACTGCAATTATAGATTAAGCTGGCAGTAAGGCTGCTAAACAGAAGAGCAAAAGACCAGCAGTAAGTTCAATGCACTTAACAGAAAATGACATTAAGGCACCCACAATGCAAGAGTAATAAAAAAACAGTACTTTGCTACCTCAGTCAAAATTCTGTCACACAATTTCTGAGATAATTAAAAGAAACATTCAAATGCATATTAAGGGCTGGAACCCCACCAGTGAAATCTGTGAGTATTCCATACTCACTTCAGTGGGAGGATCAAGCTGTCAGATGAAAATATAGTACAGGTCAATGCTAACAGTAAAAAAATAACATGTGCCCTGTTATAGCAAGCCCTGCATTAATGAAAAGTAGTTTACTAAGCTAACAGGATTTAAGCTTCTGTTGTTTATATCTAGATTCACTAGTCAATTAATTATAAATCTGAACATAACAACAGAAAATATAAAATTCAACAGTGTGCTTCAGGACAATCATCTCAGCTAGATAATCAGAAAAAACTTCTTAATAAATTAGAATTCATCATGTTCACTAAAGAAACTATATGTCCCCATGCAATTTTAGTAATGAATATCTAGGCCAATAACCTAAGTAGGTTTGAAATATTTTTTTTTAAGTTTTCCTTCTACTATTTCAGGCAGTATTTTCTTTCACAAACATTCATTTCTTGAGAGATCCTCTAAAGCCCTTCAATAAAATTTTACTGTTTCTTTGTTACCAATTGTGGAACTATCTTGCTTGGCTGGTTTTTATATTGCTTTCAAAACAATTTGTCTGCTCTCTGCTCATTTATTCAAAATGCAGAATTACTAATAAGAAAAACTTAGAGAAAGGACCTTCTTTGTCCTTCAATTCTGCCCCAGGTTCTGTTGGTTAAATAGAAAGATTTTTTTTCCTATTTTGGAAGGACAGCAAGGAAAAGTTAGAGAAATTCTTTGCACTAACAAAATCTTTGTTAGGTCCATGCAGCCAATTCCACTTTTATATGGTATAAGTGTCAAGATTCAGAGCAGAATTAAAAGATCCATTGAAGATGGTAGAAAAATATTGTTCTAAGGTGTTTTCAGCTTCACATTGTCTTGGGAAAAGCTTCTGATATAATTCATCACAGATTTTTCCTGTAAATGTTTAGTATTAAAAATCCACAACATATAATTATTTATGTGAATGTGCATTGAAGGTTACTGATTAAATTTACATGTAAATACACATAAAACTTCATGTAAACTAGCTAGCAAACAAAAACATTTATAGGTATTAAATCAGCAGAATAAATTTAGTCAAAGATTAATGAAACAAGAACCTACTCTCCCATTTTTTAATAATACAGAAAAATGTCAGTCTAGAAAAACATGGTTGTCTAAGATACTAAAACTACAGGTAACATGCAAAGCTACACAAAAATACAGTAACATTAATTTTCATTTCCTTTTTGCCTTTTTCTTCTTAAGGCACTGGGTTCCACTGCAGTACTAACAATGTGATGGACATGAAGTCACAGACACACATAAGGGACAAAGGGCCATTCAACAATAAGACAGAACAGGACAAAGGAAATGAGAACACAGATCAATCTTTTTAGAGCTTCACTTTGCCCACCTGCGCTACTAAGTGGCCAAATCAGAGTGATCACATGTAAAAAATGTAAGAATAAGTCAAGTAAGTATATAAGTAAATAAAATAATTCTGAAATCTAATGTACAGCTGCCAAACTGTCAATCTAACCTGATAAGAATGTATTTCATTTACATGCTCACAACTTTACATTGGATTCAATACAACTTCCACTTGAGCTTAAATTTTGAATTGATTATTCAACTAAGAGCTTGCACTGCCAATTCCGACATTCCAGCTACAAGAAGTCTAAATAATTGAGTGCCTCAGCACCACAATTTGGGTCAAAATTTGCTTTAAATTGTTAGGTTCATCTACATTCAGCTCAATCTAATGGGACTGCTTGGGGTCCTCTCCCATGGTTTAGGAGTCTAGCTGGGATTATCAGACAGCTTTTCAGTAGTGCCTGCACTTCTCTCATGTTTTATCTATCTGTAATGAGCTTTGATTGCTGCAAAGAAGCTGAAGCCAATAGGAAAGCTACCAGAGGTGGTGTCTGTCATGTGATAACCCATACAACTGTTTTACTTTAAAACTGTTTTGTTTTAAAGCACACAGAGTAAAAACCAAGTGCCACTGCCATCAAAGGATTTGGCAATGATTTCAGTGGGACCAGGACTTCAAAATAAGTAATGGGCTTAACAGCTCCCAGTACACCAACAGCTCTTTCTGCCTGACATCACTGCTTAACACCACCACTGAGCTAAGAACACATGGAGGGCTGTAAGGGAGGCTTAGGAATGATGCCAGCACACAGGAAGAGAGCAGCAGTGAGGAGCAGTGTCCGGCATACGCACTTGTCCTGAGAGAATGGCATGCACAGGATGGTGTGGATGAAGATGGTGGTGAGGATGATGAAGGTGGTGAGGATGATGAGGTCTCATTTAAATCTTCTGGATTTATCCAGTAGGCACGACTGTCCCGATTACCTTTCTTACTAGTACTGCTGGCATCACACTGGAAAACGTCCTCACAGCTGTCACTTTGCAGGCGCTCCTTCTGGAGAAGTTTGTCCACTCGCTGTATGATACACTCCAGGCTTTTGTCGACATTCAACCAAACTTTCTCCTTAAAAGAAAACATTTCTTTCTCAGTTTAAAACCAAAAGAGACACTGGGTAACAAATCCCTTGGTGATATATTTCCTCCTGTGATTCTAGTCACAATTCCTTTGCAAAGTTTCCTCTGGGCTATTGTGGTTGCATGTGTGCACACAAATTATGGATATACAAATAATGTATACCAGGATGTCGACAATACATAGTGACATAACTTCTGTGGTAAACTCCAAAGTTGTTTTCTGTGTAAGCTTGCCAAACAATTTTAAGTTCGTCTTGCTGCACTATAATTCCAATCTCGAGCTGGCACCATTGTTTACTCTTGAAATTCATGTTTGACATAATAATTGTATACAATCACATATCTTTTTCTTCTCTGTAACTCAGTGAACAACAGATAAAATTACTGCATTATAGTAATGCCTAAATACCGAATTAGCTTTATTTATAGTATCTTATTACTGTGACTTTAACTGTAAGTCAAACCATGCCAAAATAATTACAATTAGCAAGGACCCATTTCCAAAATGAATTGAATCTCTTTTAAAAATTGGTATTTCACAATATTAGTAATTGCTTTAATTAATCTTGACTATTTGTGAGATTTAGTTAACTTCCGTTTATTTAACACAATGACAGAATTTACACAGTCCAATTCTCATTTTGATTGGCAGTGTGAGAGGGAAAATCATTCAAATACTTTGTGCAAGCAGTTTTAAAATGCTATTCATAATCAAAACAGTGATCGACTGCAAGTTCTAAATGGTTACAGGAGAATTTCTGTAAGAGGAAGGCTAAATTGCATAGGTAACATCTAAAAAATTCACTTTATTTGGGAGAGTGCAAAAGCCCATTGTAGTATGTTCAGTTTTTCACTTTAAAAGCTATTTCTTCACCTTAAAAATGCTGTGCACCTACTGTAACAATTTCCACAGTTTAGGAGACCCAGAAATATTTATTAAAGCCTGCTTGTATTGCCAAGGAGTAACTGCCTGCAGGATAGAGACAATATCTTTGCTAGATGACCAATACCTCCTATATACTCCTCCTATGCATATCTAGTGAGCAGCTACAGAGCTTATTAAAAAAGAAAGTCCAAAGAACCAAGGATTCATCACTCCACTGTGCAAACATACCCATTCTTCTTCATGCCAGTCCACCTGCAGAGAAGATCGGCTGTTTCTTCCCGTCCATCTGGCCACAAGTGTATCTTGATCATTTCTTAGCATCACTTGTTCCCCTTCTCCAGAGGTTGGAGATGCTTTTGAAGCTATATAGTCTGGCCTTGCAGCATTCAGTCCATGTATTGAATTTGCCAACAACTTGCAGTCACAAACTGTGACAAGTTGCCGGGTCTAAAAAGCAATAAATTCCATGCTTTGAAAACTTTCCGTTATTCCATACACAATATCTATACCGTATTTTCTTTTAAGAAAGAATAAAAAAAATAATGTTCTGTAAAATAAATTATTACTTTAAGGTGCCTTTTGAATACCTTTACAGAATCACCTTAAAAATAGTATAGGATCATCCCAAAACACAAATGATACATTTCCAAAGTTTGTACTACCATATTAGACTTGCAATTGTTGAAAATGTCACTAAGGAATGTGCAATTCATCTTTACTTGCATTTCAGCTTAGAACAAGGTACAGACATGAGCAGTGTTTGAGCACTAGAACAGGCTCCCCAGAGAAGTGGCCACAGCAGCAAGCCTGACAGAGTTCAAGAAGTGTTTGAACAATGCTCTCAGACACATGGTGTGAGTCTAGCGGTGCAGGATCAGAATGATCCAGGTTAGTCCCTTCCAACTCACTATATTCTATATTAAATGATTTTCATACCTCACACAGCAGTTGCCACACCAGGAAGATCAGGCTTCACCCCAATCATCCTGTCTAAAATCATACCAAGACTTAAGAGGAGAGTTGAAGGTATAACCCATTAATCAATGCAATTTGTTCCCTGTCTTATTTTGCTGTGTTGTATTAAATGATTTCTGTAAGCCATATGAATATGAAACTATGTGACCTATGTGTCTATTAAAAAAAATACAAACAAGACATTAATATGTTATTTGTTCACATAATCCAGTTGTAGGAAATCCCACAGTTATACACTGTACTCATTTAGAACGAGTATTATAATAAATAATACATTTACATGAGGTCCCATTATACAAAGTTATATGCATATCCCTTCCACTGGGACCATTTATGGCAAGTTGATTGGCCATTACTGCTGTTTAGAACCTTCAGATCTGCTTCAAGGATGGAAGAGGTCAGTAAAACTGTATTTGGGTTTTTTCTACCTGTAAGATTGTGTTCAGCTGTGGGTCCAGTCTATTTTTTGTTAGCATACATCAAGAAATAACTGGTTTACATCACCATAATTCAAGCAAAGGCTGTGTCACCATTATTCTTTAGTTCACCAGTGGAAAAATACAGAATTGTTTCATTAACCTTCACACAGTTACTGCTGCTTGACAGATGACTGAGAACATTAAAAAATCCCAGGTGGTTATGGAGAAAAGGATATAAAAGAAAGTGAAGAATGCACATTACTGCAATGTGACGAATGGAGGGAATCAGAGGACATTGCTCTCCACTGCACTTTCAAGAGGAGGTGAAGGCAAGAGTATCAAAAGTAAGAGACAATGTAAATAAAAACAGGAACTTCTAAAGGCTGATACAATTTTTTTTAAGGACTCCGCCTGTTACAACACACTACAGAAAAAGGTAAAACAAATGTTTCAAGAAAACCTCCTAAAGGTACAGACAGAAAAAAACCCACACTATGCTTCAGCAGAGAAATTAATTATTCTCCTACCTTATCTGCTAGGATGGCAAGTGTTCTTTCAAGGCCATTAGCTGATCTATCCTTGGCAGCTCTTGAGAGCCTTTCTGCATAGTAACTGACTTGCGTTTTCAGGGTGTTGATTTGTGCAATAATTTCCTTTGCTCTAACGATGTCCTGTGGGATGTATATTATAGACTGGGAACCTGTTGAAGTGCTGAAAAAGAAAGATTGATTTTAGGGGGGAAATTGATCTAAAGGTACACACATTACAGTGGCATGCTGGGGAATTAATGGCAGACAACAAAAAATTACCTAAACTAGTGATCAACAGTGAAAGTCCAGTGGGCAATTGCACAGCAGGAACATGATCCTAGAGACTTCTCTGCCTTTACTGAAAGTATTCAGATGCAGATTTACTAATCCCTAATACCATGGGGCTGTGGGCAGAGCTTGTATACCAGAGGACAGGTTTGCAGAGGAGAATATGGGTAACAGATTTTGCCATCAGATACAGAATCACTGTTTGCAGAGACATCTTGCTCCATTCTCCCTCTCCTTACAACACAGATACTTCAGTGAGGCCTTGTTTACAAAAATGTTTTATCATGTATCTACTAACATAATGAAAAGAAAATCTGTGCTTCTTCTACCAGAAATGCCACCCAGATCCATAATGCAAACATCTGTGGTATTAACAAAAAAGTCCTTCTGCTAGTATATAATTTCTTCTACTGCAGACCAGAATCAAGTTACACTAGCAAAAGCAATTTTATGATATGTAAAAAATCAACATGTATCTTCAGGCTAATACAAGGACACTGTTCTTTGTGTAGTTTATGTTAGCACACACTTAATATACTAAACTAGGCACAAACATATCTTTATATGGTGATAATGCAGCTACACTAAAACTGTTATCTCACAGTGGAGAACAGTTTGTGCCCTTTTAAGTTTAGATGTCTACAGAAGTTGCTTATCCAATCCAAGACAAATGTTCTACAACTGCTGGAGAAAGAATAGCACTTCCAAAGGGTAATTTGGTCCCAATGAAAGAGTCATTCACAAAAGCTTAGAAATTAACTTAGAAAATTACTCAAAGCTGAAGCTGTGCTCTTAGTTAATTATTTGGAACCAACTGACCACTACTCCCTTTGTCAAGCAAAATGCTGGGTTCTTCCTTCCCAGTAGGAAAGGTACCCAAAGACCAGGCATTTACATCATCTCCAGCTGTGCCAAGTGTGATACCCATTCATAACATGGCATCAAGCATGAGGAGACACCAATTGTGTATTATCTTAATTTTATTATTGTTGTTCAGTCATGAATGGCTTCAGCATAGTAACAGCACAGAAGAACCTACTGTTGGCACTGATCTCAGCACTGTTAAATGGAGACAGCCACCCTGAGAGCTTACATGGAGAGGAGTTTCTTTTTCAGGCAGTGACCACAGATCACGACCTCCAAGCAGTGTGAACTCCTCTGCTACCCTTAGAGCAATGCTGTTAATTTCTGCAGTGTATCTGTGAGGTAGCACATGAGGATTGTGTGGGGCACACTTCAAAATCATGCTACAATTCCAATTCTTGTCCCTTAGCAGATATTAAGGCAAGGGAGAAACCTAATGCCAGTGTCTGCCTGAACTCCATTAAAAAAGAAAGATGAGGGATTTGTTTTCACAGGATTTAACTTGGAAGCAATTCCTGAAAGAGTTTCCTTGTTTGTGCTCACCCTAGTGGGGCAGAGAACAACCACTCCCCAGTACTGCTGTGCCATACAGCAAATTAATCTCAGCTTTTAGGGCTTTCCCTATACTTGATTTGTGCTTTCTAGTGACAGGTGATTTTAGTGACAATTCCTCTGAGCAATTTCTTTCCATGACAGTGTGGTTAACATGCATAAAGACACAGTTGGCAGAAAAGGCCATGCAGCACACTGAGATTGGATTTAGAGTTATTACGTTTTTAATCATAAACATTTGCTAGGATGATTGGGGGGAAAAATTATGGTGTAAAGTTCACATATACTTACTTTCCAACCTGCAATTGCTTTTTCAAATGAACAGCTCTCATTGTATTATACCAGCAAACTGTAACACAGACTTATACTCTCAGTGAATTAGGGTTTCAACCTTAATAAGACTAATTTAGAGCAAAACTTCTTAATTTTTGAACCATCCAGTAATATCTGCTTTTGATAGCACTGAACACCACAAAATGAGGGAAAATATTATGTGAAAATGTTTAAATAAAGACATGGATTACAAAAATATACACCATGCCAAATCTGTCACATTAAGGTTTTATAATACATAAAATTATCCTAATTATCTTCCATCACTGGCAGAAAAGTTTCTCATTCCAGATAGTTTTCATTTGAAATAAAGGAAAATATTTAAAATCCTTGTGTTCTGATTTTCAGTTTTTTAACTTCTTATGATCAGAGAGAACCAGGAAGCTAGCTGTTCATTGCAAACAAACATTGCAGATGAAATGAAATTCATTCACACATCATGTTCTACAAAGCAGCTACAGTTACTTAGAGCACAGTTAGGGATACCATGATGCATGACATTAAAAAGCCCTGCACACTTTAAAACACATCAGATCTTTGCCAAAGAAAAGGAAAATAAAATAACCCATAGAACAGAAACCCTCTATAGAACTCTCAGAAACAGAAAACTCACCAACACTCCTCATAACTGCTACAAAAACAAAAAACCAAAATAAAATTAGCAGATTGTTAGCAAATACCAAAAGCAGAAACAAAACAAAGTATGACTGGGGAAGTAACTTATTTGAGTCATTTTTTCAATAAGGTGGGTACATGAACTTGTAAGCAAAAAACCACAGATTGCCAGATGACCATGAGTTGATCTGGGGAAATGCTGTGAATGCACCAAGCCCAGTTATGCCAATGACAGAAGAAGGAACTGAAAATGTAACAATGAAACCAAAGAGATGGATCTCAGTTCTACTATACTGGCTTTTTTGATAACATAGATGCAATTAAAATTAAAGTTGTTCTTCAAATGTTGAACCTGCACTTTTCACGGACCCAGAAGGAACAGTTCTGAAAAGCTTAGAGGAAAAGTACTGGATAGAAATTAAACTCTCCAATCAACTTAATTATTGATTGAGGAGAAAAAGAACAAATCCACGTGGGAAATCAGCTATTGCAGGAGTAAGAACCACTTCAGTGGCTATGCTGACAGAAGAAGGTTATTTCAAATAGCAATAGTGCTATCAAAAGAACAGAAAGGACGAGCTTGACATACCAGTGTTCAAGTTTACAGTTTCCTCTAGTCCTATCCTAGTGCACTCTGTCAGCCTGAATAATCACAATAGATCTTTTTGCTCCAATCTTTTTATCAGTACATATCTGACTGTTCACAAGATGCTGCTATTCACTTCTCTACTGCCAAAATTAATTCTGCAGTTGATTCCCACGTCATTCCCTCCTCCTATCAGCTCCAAATCCCACTAATCCTTTCTTTAGAAGGCCCATTATCAAGGTCTTCATTTCCCTGACTACAATGACTCCTTGTCCTGCTGCTCTTGTGCCTTGAATGCTCCATACAATAGCAGAAGCAATGTAGATCCTGCAGCACTCTCCCTTCTCTGGAAGCTGGAGTGGGTGCCATGTTAGCAAATGTGACCTTCCCAGCTTCTGCACATTCCTCTAGCTCATATAGCCACATTCCTACAGAGGTCACTCAGCAGTGCCTCCAGATAGGACCATGGGGGTCAAGTACCCCATCTGTAGAGCAGAGGCCAAATTCAGAAGCCAAATCTGTGCATAAACCTTTAGGCAATGCAGGAAGGCCTCCAGAAATATTTTCAGAACTAAACCCACTTCGTCAACAAGGAATTTACCAATCAGACACAGCAGGTTCCTACTACAGAGGTCAGCAACAGAACCTTGAAGCTATGAGAGGGGTGAAAGTCACCTGAAAATAATGGGTTGATGCATGATGCAGTGCAGCTGAGGAGGTCCAGCAGACAAATGTTCTGACCCACAATTAGGCAGAACCCAAACCCAATACCTAAAATAGCTATATTAAATGAATCAACAAGTATTCAGAAAAATTAGTTTTCATAAAAAGACTCTTATAAAGACCCAATCAGTAAACAAATATAGTAATATAAGGAGGAAACTGTTTCCCCTCTCCTTCTTTGGAAAAAAACCGCACAGAAAAATCTGCAATACAAAATATCGTATAGTAGTACTATTGAATGAAATAAAAACAGAATGGAATGATTTTCCAAATAACTGAGCATGGACCAGGAGAAAAAGGCACAATAACTGCTGACACAATAGTATTTCTACTTACTGTTTCTTTGCCTCTTCAAATTTATGCAGCTTTTTCCGCAAGCCACCTGATTTAAAGCCTTGACAGTGAGCTGCTGGTGCTCCTATGGTGACTATGTCGTAGTTCTGATCTAGGATGGACAAAAAGGACTTACAAATGAAAACTTGTCATCTTTAACATAGACAAACAATTGTGTAAGTTCAAAAACTTTTCAGAAATTAATTTCTAGAAAACTTTGCCATGGTTTGAAGGACATAGAAAACTGAGTTGTTCTAGAGGCCCTGGAAATCCATCACTTTTTCAGGTGAAAGACCCATACATGAATGCAGGTCCTCTGTTTCTTAATCTAGAAGGCTGACAGTGAAAAAGAAGTCTTGAACACTGGTCTGTATATAAAGCTTGCCTTTACTGGAATCCCTCCCAAGGACACGTGAGACAAGTGTGTGTCCATGGTCATGGGGAATTATTGTTAAAAGAAGGGAAAACCCAGGTTATTTATGATGAAACAAGCTTGATGTGAAAAAACATGATTTTGCATAACCATATATGTTGGTTCTGTAGAAAAAGCACATAAGCTTAACAAGAAACAACAGTCAGAACCTTTTTTATTCTACTGCAATTCAAAATGTCTGGAAAGGACACAGCAGCTTAATCCAACCCCAGTTCAAAGGCTAACTTGTGCCATCTAGAGTTCATTTAACTCTAGACCTGTAGAACAGCAATAATTATACTTCCATGTCTTCTTTTGCAAAGAGATTTGGAATCTGAGAATAGAAGGTGCTATAAAAATGCCAAGTAGCACTACTACAGTAGTTTGTAGAAACTTGGCTATATGGTTGAGGATGGAAATAAAAAATTTGGACAGGAAAGTAACAAGTGAAGGCAGAGAAACTAATACCTGATCCTCCATCATCCTGGACTCTCATCCTCTGTATATGTAAATTTGTAGGAACGAATTCCAATTTTTTATCAGCTTTCAAGCTACTGGCTTTAAATGAAGGACCTGAGAAATGCAAGACAAAGTAAGCATAAACCCCTTCTCCTTGTGCTTATGCTAAAACATTTAAAAAGCTTCATTCATCATTTCTTATGTGCTGAAAGTAAAGCAGAGAAAATTAAAAAGAAAAAACAAAACAAAATCTTTCTGTTACTGTTCACACTGGTCCTCTACTTTCAGAGTAAGATAAAAGAACAAATAGGACGGACAAATATTCCCAGGTAATTAGTAAACTCACAATAAATATTAATAAAGAAATATATTAGCATTGTTTACTCATCATAAAACATTCTGGATTCCCAATTTCTGAGAAGCACTAACAATCTTGGTAGGGAAGAATCATGTTTTTATTAAAAAATATTAAAAAAAAAAATCACCTTTATACTGGTGCAGGTCAGTTAGATTTTCCTGGTAAGTTAAAATAATTGTTTGGTACTGTGTAACTATTTGTCGACGAAGGCTTTCCCAACAAGGAGACAGCTCTCCCAGTTCTTCTAGTTCACAAACCCTGGGGAAAAAAAGAAAGTGGGGAGGGAAGGAGAGGTGTTCATGTCCATAGTCCACTTGACCAAGAATGAGTTTCACATATTAATGGAGCACCATCCTCAGCTGACACGCTCTCAATTAACCGTGTCTGAGCTACTCACCAGACTGCAAAAGCTTCCAAACACACATCCCAAAGCACATCTCAGAGCACAGGATGAGCACTGCTCTGAGGTAAATTGCTTCCTCACAGGCAGAATACACTGTACTCCCCCCAGGAGCCTCGAGTGTTGTTCATGAGCTTCCCACCTTTCTGCAGGAGCTCTCAAACTATATGAGGATGGGTTAATGATGAATTGTCATCATGTCAGGTGACTTGGGACAATGAGGACCTTTTAAGGACACTTTACTGAACTGTGGTGGCTCTTAACTAATTAAGAACTGTAAGAGAGGTTAGGTGAGACATTAGCACCTATCTGATGTTAGGTACAAAGAGTATATTCACTGATAAGGTATGTACACAAAGCTTGCAAGGCCTGGGAAAGCCTAAGAAGTGTAAGCACTAAGGGTTTGGAGAGACTGAAGAAGAGCCAACAAAACTTTCAGCTGAGATCCAGGATTTTGGGCACTCGGGGTAGAATAAAGGAGGACTGGACATCCCCAGATACAAACAGGAAAAGCCCTGGCTTTTCCCTTGTAATATGACTGCCAGGTTTTCAGTCCTACATGGCAATCCTGTGTTATATACTGTTCCCCAGCAGTGCTGCTGAGAAACTACTCAGTGTATTTCATGTCATGTTTGTATTACTGCCTTCTTGGATTAGGGTATAATTTGGAATAAAGGAAGAAGGGGAAAAAGTAAACAAGTCAACACCAGACACAAACCAACAGCACATTACCCTAGAAAAGGTAGAACAATCATCTGTCAAAGGATCCAGCAGTTCTTTTTGCAGTTCTCTCAATATCCCTAATTCCACAGTTTTAACCAATTGTCTATGTGTAATTGCATTTCACAGAGCAATTCCCACTCCACAGTACTTAGGATATTATAAAAAATAACTAAATTTCCAAGAAAAACATCAGCTTGATTTGCCAACAGGCAACAGCATAAAATATATTTATCAGTGACCTAGATAAAGACACTTCCATTTTCATCTTAAAACTTGCTTTCTGCATAAGATGCTATTATGATTACCTCATCAAACTCTCTGCTCAAAATCAGCCATGAATCTGAGCCCTGGTCTTCCCGAAGTAAATTAACAGCTTAACACTCCAAGTTTACTTGGAGCCAAGACAGCAAGGAATATGTGTGCCACAAATAATGAAGCAGTCAAAATACCACACTCCCAGTTAGATGTTTCCTTTCAAAAGGCTCTGGCCCAGAAGAGTTTTACCTAAGAGACAGCAGTTGTGATTACCCAAGGACATTTTAAAAGTCACCAGGATGTGAAGACAGAAACAGCTGTGCTTGTGTAGCTGTCCTGTCACTCCTCTGGGCTGCAGCACCGAGAATGGAGCACAATGTTTGGTCAAATCTGAGTGACTCTATGAATACAAAATATGATTGTGCACATTAGTGAGGGTCACCTCAACTGAACAGAGACAAGGAAGCCTTTCTCAGTAATTACACAAAGGCCTATTTACCTTTCAGCCACACCACCCAGTGTACATGCATAAGGTCATATTAACAATCTGTTATTAATCTGTACCTGTTTACAACAGGCATCCACTGATCTCTGCATGATTTTAGCAAGAGCCTCTGAACAATCACATTTCATGGCCAAGGCCTCAAACTTCACTGTCTACAGAAAGTCTTATAGAAAGACACATCTTTTTGCTCATTCACCCTAAATTCTCTTTGATCTTCAAGTCCTTAACCTACATCCATCATACATGGATCGTTATGGATAAGCTTGCCAGCTTATTATTATGGTTGTACCTCATAATGAATAGGTGCTTTTAAATCTACTGTGAGGAAAGCTGTAGAGAAACAAAGATACAAAATAAAATAACAAATAACTAAATGTGCAATGGCATACCCCTAGCCTGCTCCATCAAGCTCGTAGCAGGACAGCTGAACAAGATACAGCATTCCATTACTAGACTCTAAGTGCACATCACTAAAAACGTAACATCAGAAATGAAGTTCAGAAACTCAATTAGTTTCCCCACGCATTACAAAAAGTTTCTGCCATCTTCCTGTGAGAATTTATCATTTTCACAAAATATGAAAATACCTACAATGAATGGATTAACCCATGATTTTATTTCATAATATCCCAAGGAACTGAAATGCCCTAATATACAATAATGAGAGCACTATTTAGTTTTAATTAAAATCAGACTTAGTTAAGGTCTATAGGACTGGATTCAAACACAGACAAAACAAAAGCCCAATACTCAAAAACACAGCTAAAATTCTTTACCTTTCCAATCTTTATAAAGAATACATAAATAAAGAATACATAAATCATTAGATTTGCAAACTACAGCCTACAAATGTAGGAAAGAAACACTCATAAAGGAGTATGTTGCCTGGAAGAGAGTTAATTGCCTCAAAAAGAAGCAAATTCAAAATAAACCTACAAAATGCTTAACAGATTTCCTTCTCCCTCCCACCTCCTAAAATCAGGCAATGTCATTACTGTACTACAGTGTTTCATTTTACTTGCCTTTATTCTGTTTTGTTTTCCAATCAAAACTACTCTTCTGACTCTCAAAGCCATTTCTTGTCTCATGGAGTAGTCAGTGCACTAACACAGATATATTTATGCCTTTGTAACTCAATAACAGCCACATCACTGCTGTATTACTGCACACATAAACCATCCCAAAACTCACCTTGCTGCATCTTCTTCTAGAAGCAGCTTCACAAATTGTCTAGGGATGTGCAGTGACAGGATGCTCTCTGCCATCTGCTCCAAGATTCTCAAGTGGTTTCCATCAGTGGTTGGGAAACGATACATTCGGCAAATGGCACCACCAAACACTAAAGAATTAAAACCATATTATTTAAGCCTAGGGTTTGACTTAAAATTGTACAAAGTCTCTTCTTTTTTAAAGTAAATAGGTTCAGTTCACTAACATGCTGAAACACCCTGCTGTAAAGATCTGGTTTAACCAGGCATGAGTCTACCTTTTGCAAGAATGGCCATTCTGCAATGACCATTCTTCAAGTGTTTGCAGGAAAAGCCTCCACTCCAAATGACTTACTACACTGCTGAGGAAATAAAATTAAATACATATTCACCTTCTAAAATGCCTTTTTTTTTTTTTTGGTCAATGTACTGTGCATTTTCCTGTCATGCAATCATTTGCTGGAAAACTAACCTTTGTGAAAGATTCTTTTTTTTAAAGCCACTTGCTTTCCTTTGTCCTTTTCCTCACCTGGCAACAATTGCTTAGGAACAAACTATGAAATTGCATGGAAAATGTTATATTACAGTCAACTTAATGGCAAAAGTTTGCTTCTGCTGTTTTCATGAAACAGAATAGTGCATATGACAAAATGATTTATTCTGGTATGACCCTCAAAGGACTGCTCAATCAGCAGCCTGTTCCTATTCAAATGAAACATCTGCTGAAATGCCCTGGGGCCACAGGCACACAGGGAGAGATTAGCTTTTATTGATACCTAAAGCTTACTTGTTACAGCCCAGGGCAGCTTACCAGATTTCAGTAGTGCATCCTTCCGCAATGAAGCATATTTGGATCTGATTCCTAAGGATTCTGTTAAACTTTCATCAACTGGCAACACAGTCTGAACAAAAGCAAAACCAAGAAAAAACAGAACTAGTAAAGAATGAAATCTCAGTGCCCAAGCAATATGCAGTGATGACCTGCCAGAGAGACCTGAAAGAAATATTCAACTCCACACATGCTTTAAATAAATATTTCAAATATTTTTACTGTGGACAAAAAATATTGCAGGCCAGAATAATAAATCTTAAGCATTCCTATTTACTTCTACTGCACAGCTCAAAATGCCACAAAATTTTTCATCCAGCCTTTCAACTACTTAGGCTAGCACAGCTCCAGAGTCCTTACAGATACTTCATCAATAGGCATGAGAAGATCTGGAGGATAAAAAGTGATTCTAATGCACACTGTGAGAATATAATACACATGTAAGTGTGCAATGATCACCAAGATACTCAAAACACAAGTTCTACAGAATTAAATAAATGTGTAGGCTGAGAAAGTGCTGCAAACATCTGCTCTCAAACAATTACTTGGGTATCAGGAAAAAAAAATCCAGTAGTCAAGTAACCTCTTCGGTTTTACTAAAATTCTGGGGATTCCCTAGCATCCTCATTACAGTTTTGCTTAATGGTACCTTCCAATTCACAAGGTGAAATGAAATACTACATGTCTCTGAAACTGGTTATCCATGCATCAAGTGCACTAATGAACAGTACTAGAAGCCTCTTCCAATGAAGAACATGAATACTTGATGCTCAAGCTTAATAATTTTAAATTAATTTTTTTTCCTAGACTTTTAACCCCACATATGAGCACCAAGAGCTCTGCAAAACTCAAAATGGCTTCATCACCATTGGACTGCTTCTTACAGTACTTTGAAAATGTAAAGCACTTTTAAATATCAAGATGGATAGGAACATTGATGGCAGATATCAACCTAGTTTATTTCAATGCTGGCAATAAATCTGCATTCTTCTGAATTTGGTACAATGCTCATACTCACCCTTCCATTAATTGTATCAGGTGACCTTGTCACTGGAGGCCTTTGGTCTGATTTTTCCTCCATCTGCCATCCAATAACTGTGATGTTACCAACACGGTCACTTTCAGCCGACCTGCAACAAATACTCTGCGTTGAGATTTTTTTGGAGGAGGACCTGTTCATCAACAAGGAAACACTTATAAAAGGCTATTAATCTTCAAACCTAAAGAACATCTTAAATAGAAAGCTTTTCAACTTCATTTGGAATAATTTTACAATGGGTTATTCCAACAGGAGAACAATGCCCTTATTCTGTAAGGATGCTGTACAGAATTGAAGGCAGCCCAGGCAGTGCTCTGTGCTCAGCTTATACATTTGAGGGTAACATGACAATGAGAAGGAATGTATTTATTCACACATTTTGATAATCAGAATATACTTGATATCAAAACAAGGGAGTTTAATGAAGTCTATTTTCAACTTGGTCATTAAATATGGGGTTTTCATCACATCTTAAGCATGTTTTGAAGAATTAACACTTATAAGAAGGAAACTATTACAAACCTTAGTGTTATGTGCAACCTGTGGTACTTCTCCTGAAGAAGATCCTTTACAGTGAACGTCCCAGAACCCAACAAATACATCTGAAAGAAGATGAGTTCCAGAATTGTGTTTACCTTTAGAGTGAGCAAAGACTTTGACTACAGTACTGAAGCGCAAAATACAATTATAATGCATGAAAGTCCAAGAGCAAAACCATAACTAAATATGCCATATATAACTAATTTAAATATCTTAAAATCTAATATATTTGATAATTTATGAAAGTTTTTCTTCTGCTGGAGGATAATATGCATTTTTGTTTCTCTAGGATATAGGTGGAGATACCTCAGTATATATGAGCTTAGGTCAAGCAACTCAGGAAGACTGAAAGCAATGACTGAACGACTGAACAGGGCTCAGGCTGTATCCTTGACCCAAATTTGTCTCCTCCTGAAACACTTACTTCCTCTGGAGGTATTCATTTTTCCCTAGAGCTTCCCCATGAAGCACTGAGAGAGGGACAGCTCTGCTGCCCCTGAGGAATCCATGGAAGAGCAAACAAATGGGGCCTGAAGCAGTATTCTGGACAACAGTCTGAGAATAAATGGCCTGTATTGCCCTCAGATCCAAGTAGCAACATGGGACGCTGACACTCAAAGTTTTTCGAGTAAATGAACAAACCTTATCCCTGAACAAAATCTAATGTATCAGGGCAGGGTGATTCCTGGAATTTAGGCACTCTGTTCCAAAGGACAGGTTCATTATGGCATTTTGGCAAAGGCTAGAAGCCTCAGTTAGGGATGTTGGATCCTATTCATTATCGAGTTCACTAAAGATGTCCACAATGTAAGAGCACAAGGGACAGGACTTTTTAAATTTAAAACCATGGTTTCCAAACCTGCTACAGACAAGCCTCATTTGAGAAAACTGGCAATGCTTCTCATTCTGCCAAGCCGGTCTCATTTGCTCCTCCTTTCCCTACCCATCTTGTTTTCTGTATGATCAGAGCTGCTATCCCTTTGTTTTCTCAGAAATTATATATAATTTTATCTCTTTGCCTATCATTTCCTTGCTCCACACTGATTGGGCAGGCAACAGAATAAAGAACACTTACTGTTCCCTGAGATCTATCTTTGACGTCATACACCGAGAGTTTGATTTGTGTCATTTGATTGATAAGAGAGTCTTGGAAAAAGGCAATGCTGCTTAGAAAGATAGGATTACTTGTTCCCTGCAATCATAAACAAAAAGCCAAAAGTTAATGTAAGGTGATAATTGTTAGGGGAGAAATTATTCCTCTGTTAGCTTTGATTTCAAATCTAATCTAGAAGTACCTCAGCACTTACCTCAATAATTTCTGTCTGTGCATGCTTTGTCCAGAATGCCTGGGGAGGAGTAGTTACACTCACTGCTACAAAACTATTTGGTTTTCGATCTAGCGATGGAGTTAGCAGCTCACTGCAAGCTTTAGGTATGCAAAAATAAATAAATTTAGATTCAGGATCTATTTCATATTGCTGTAAGACTACATTTTTATAAAACCACATTATATACCGTGAGCAATCAAAACACAAAGGGCTTAATATTCATTCTATCACCACACTATAAAAGCAGACATCACTCACCTTTGTGCATGCACACTGTAAACATGCAATCAGCTCAGTCCAAGCTCTAGAGCTGCAATTTAAACTTGTTCTCTTCTAATACATGCCTATCCACCCTCTGGCAAGCTCATTCTAACAGCCCACATGCATAGGTTTTCCCCTGGGAGTCTCATGAGCATGGCTGCATTTGATCTGGAGTCACGCTCCATTAAGCCCATTATCAAATGGCATTTGCCCAGGGACAACCAGCAGAAGCGCCTGAACATTGATCAAGCTGAGGAAAACCAGCTTGTAATTGTAAGATGACAGCAATTTATTTCCTCTAACATGTTACTGTGAGTTTAACTGCTAGGAAAGGATTATGGTGAGTAGGAAACAACTTCCAAAAATTTCAACGAGTGAACTCTACCAAATTACATTAAACTTCAGAGCCAAATTCTATCTAGCTAGATACAGGTAACTACAGTGTGGTACAACCCTGCTTCAGCTACATGCAAGAAGTTAATTCTGAAATTTAGCTAAATAGCTTTGTAATTCTAGATATTTTTAATTTATCTGAAAATAATTGAAGTACCTTATTCAGCTCTGAGAATGCTTCTTAAGATTATTATTCATAACACAATTACACAAAACTGAGAAAATTTTCTAATTTTTCATTAGCACACTGTAAAGACTGTAACCTTCCAAATACTATTCCACTATCAATCCAAGAAAACCATCCTGCAGTTGAAAATATGGACTGAATTTTCATGAAGAAAGTATTTTTCACTTATTGTTCAAGTGAGATGAGTCAACGCTCAAGCTTCGTGTCCAAATTTAACCATCTCAGAGTTCAGGCCACTTCTGCATCTTGGACTATCACATGACAGCAAAGGCCCCAGAAAAGAAGTCATGTGTAATTCTCAATTCTTTGAAAACATTCTGCCCTAAAATGGTGTTTCCAGTAAATCTTCAGTTTGCTTGAAGACCCGAACTGCTGATTTACTGACAGTGAAGGCAGTTTCACTGCATCTTCACATAAACAAAGTAAACATGTAATAGTAATAATAATAATAATAATAATAATAATAATAATAACAACAACAACAACATAGTAAAATTTTTAAATTTTATAAGACTGATGTTTTAGTTACAGACTTTTAGAAACTTCACAAAATGAAACTGCTGACTGCTTATCAAAAGATACCGTACAGGCAGCACGAAAACTGTACCACATCTACATAAAAATCAGAGCAAAGTTGCAAACCTTACTATATGAAATGCACTTCAGAATCAACAGTTACAAAATCCCACACACATTCAACAGCATGAATTATCAAAACTAGCATAAAAATCACTAAGCCTACCTAAACTGAACTCTAAAATCGGCTCATCTGGATCCTGAATGTTTCCTGTAAATCAGAAAAATTAACACAAGATTAGCCAACTCACACCACTGCCATATGAATTCTTTCCTGAAGTTGCAATCACACAGAGAAAGAAATTCTATTTTATACAAAAAATATTTTTCTTTAATTCAGTGAGCCATGACTGGTATCTAAAACATTCATCTGGTAATCTTTGGTATCTAATAATTATTTGGAAAACCTGTGAAGATCTCAGTTTATGAAACATTAAAATATGTAAAACTATGTGAGATTATATGCAATTTGGGAATATTAAATGCCTAATCTCAATAGAAAACAACAGGATTAAAGCCTAAGTCAGTATTAACTCCAAATTATTAAATCTGTGGTAGTTAATAGGACAAAATTTAAAAGTACCCGTCACTCTCACTAATGAAAGAAAGCCTCTGAGGGTTAGAATCCCAATTTAATAACCATAAAAGACAAAGGAGACAAGCCTCAGCTCCCTGAACTCTCTTGAAAATTTTATGCAATGTCAAAAAAGGGAGTTGCCAAGACTCTTCCTAGGCTGTGACATTATTTTGTCTCCCCTTTGCTTATTTTTGAATGATAAACATAACAACACAAAATCTAACAATTTTTAAATCCCTCTCTGATTTTAATATTTTGTCTATTTTAAAAGTAGCAAATTCAAGATTTCTGGAATTTTTTAGCTTAATTCCTTTATCTCATTACCTCCAGATTACCAGACAGATCTAAATCTTCGAGCAATTAAAAGAAAAAAGCCAACATTAGTACAAGGCAGATAATGAATGGAGCAGCAACAGAGCAATAGCTGACAGGAAGGTACAAACCTGTTAGAGAAAGGCCAACCATGTCAGAGGTGACATCAATGGTGGAGGCCCTCTGCACAGTGCGCGATTTGGCACCATGGCGGGGGCTGTGTTCTCTTGCTGTCATTTTCTCATGAAGAGCCCTTCTTTTCTTGCTGCTTGGCTTCACCGATGTTTGTCTCCCAGAGTAGCAGAGTGCAGCACGTTATCTCCAACTGCTACTCCTCTAACATTGCTGTGCTAAGCAAAAGGGAAAACAAAGACATACCCCAAAATTTTAAGCCACCATCAGGTACTGATCTTTTCAACAGCAGCAAACCTACTGCCATAAAATCATCTCAGGTCATTAAAATAAAATGCTCAAGGCAGATCTAAATGCACAGTAACTCCATTTGCATGAGCTGTACATCTGTAGCATTTTACAGCAAATTGTTGAAAACTGGACCACATGCAAGAAAGTTTTTCTGTCAGAGAATGGGGCTTGAGAGAGACATGTTAACAGACCAGCTGCTCTTCTCTTTTGACTAAGTTATTAAACCATCCTTAATGAAGTTTCCTGGTTTCTAATCCCTGGGGAGCACAAGTAAATTTGTCAGAGGGGCCTCTGTCTGCAGAGGAAGCACTAGGGATAAGGACAAAGGGACAAAAGGTTGGTGGAGGGCATAACAAAAGGGCAGGAAATGTTGTCAGTGTCAGCACACTGTGTTGTTCTAGGCTCTACTGCTATGAGAAAGGGATAATGAAAACTAGAAATAAAGCTTACTAGGCCAGAGAGAGGTTGAAATTCTGGGATGGTGGTGGAAAGAAAAAGCAAAAAGGGATGCCTGCTGATGTGGCAGATGGCAGCATCTGTGCTTTTCCTCCACCCTACACTGTTTTGGACTACACACATCCATGACAGTCCTTCCACTCACAATGTCTATGAAATGAAAAATTACAGTAGGAAAGAAAGCCTACAGAAAATTTGGTCATGATTTTAAATGTGAATGTTCCTTCAATCAACTGTGCTAGCACTGCAGTTAGGAAACTTTTGCATTTGTTTCATACTCTTATGACAAATTCCATTTATTTAGCAAGTGAGAAGTAAAATCTGATAAACCTGAAAAGCACTAATAGAGTAACTAACACCTTCCCAGCAGCCTCTCGTTCATTCTACAAAACATTTGAACCACACTGCAAAATGGGAGCATATTTATTTTCCTTTTAGGTTGATTGACCTAACAATGATCCAGATGCATTCTAATTAAATAAAGCACCTAGCTTACATTTTGTTCTAAAACACCACTTTGAATCTGTCTGAAGGTCTCCAAAGGAACATTCAACCTGCTTAACTTAAGTCTCTGAATTTAATCAGTCAGCATCTCCCTCTGGAGGATTTCAAAAGAAACTTCTTCTCTCCACAGGGTACTCAAGCTTCTTCTTAACTGTCACTGCTTCACTGGACATCAAAAAATTCAAATGCAAGTTAAGCATGTAAGACAACTGAGCTGAACGCTGCTCTGGCCATCTACATCAGCTTAGGAATTAAATTTTAAATGAAGAGCTTATTCTAGGGAGGAAGGAATTTGGGCTGTGTCTACAAGATAGACCAGTCTGTTGCCACTCACAACTAAGAATTTGATGCAAGTCAGGTTTATATAATAGGGAAAAAAGCAAATTCTTGAATGGGAGAAGCAGAAATTGAGATCTCTGAACATCCCGTCCCCAAAGCTCTGAAACTCAGTGACAGCATACAAAACAACACTCTGCCTATAGATATAATTTCTGACAGCCAAAAATTAAAGCAGGCAGTTTTCCAATTCATATTGAATAGTTGAGGTCGGATAAATTCTGGAGTTTATCTAATTCAACCCCCTTGCTCAAAGAAAGCTTCTCAGGACTGTGTTCAGTTGGTTTTGGACAAGAATGTACCTCTCTAGCCAACCTGGTTGTTCCAAGTCTTGAGCTTTTTACACAGTAAAAAGCTTTTTTGTATTTATTAATGTTTAAGTGGCTAGTGAATAACCAACCCTTTCCAAATAGTACTGAATGTCCTAGTATTTACTCAAATAAAACTGCCATCAAAATTCTTTGACAGTTTCCAAGGCTTTCCATTCTCCTACTTTTTCCCTTCTTTCAGCAATAGGCTTTCCTTGGTTTGTTCTCTATAAAATGTGATGCTTAACAGTCTGTAAGTCTATTAAACCTGTCTCATGAGAAGACCTACAAAATGTATTTGCAGAGATTTACACGGGATGCCATGGTTCCTTCCCCCAAAATCTATAAATAACACATTAGAAAATAACCAAGGTACAGGTCAGACAGCAATTAGGTTCAAGAGCCTGACTGATTTTCAGCTAAAATCTCTGCAATTCCTGACATCCTTAACAAGGGTCAATCCTTGATAAATTAGAAGAAGGTCAGGTATCTAATTTGTTTTGAGGCTATTTCTATTTAAATATTACTGAGCATAATAATTTTCCAAGGCTCTCTAAAACCTCAACTGTTCATTTAAATTGCAATATTAATTTATCATCTAATGATACATATTTATATTACTTACAATGATCATACTTACAGAAGGCTCTTTTCCTCATGTGGGGAGGGATTTTGTACATCATAATATCAGTTAAACCCACATCTAAAAAAATTAACAAAATAATCATCATAAGTTCACAGTCTTTTTATACTGCATAAATCACAAACAATGGGCTTGTACTCTTCTCAGATGAACTGTAAATTTAACTTCTGATTACCAGTGCTCACAATAAAGTTTACTGAAAATAGAAAAACTGTGTGATTTTCTACTGGATCTCACCCAGCATTAGTCATGGCAATACCCAGAGAGAGTAGGAGCACAAAAAATATATGCTTATGCTGAAAAGGACTGACTTCAGGTCAGCATTTGGTGAGTGGGTAGAACAGCTGTAAGAAACATACATTAACGTTTACCAATAGGCTTGGAGCTATTAAGAAAAAGGAATGTGTATGATATGTTGAGTATAAGACAGCATTTTTTACTATGCTTGCTTGTCTACAGCTAAACTTTCAAAACGTTGTTTGGAAGAGTTATTACTGCTACTGTCATGAGAAAAGATCCTGTGTCAAAACACAGAAGTTCAAAAGATCAGGATGTAGGTCTCTTACTCCTTTGGGTGAAAATACTACGTGAGGAAGGCTTCTACAAACAGCTGGCAATGCACATACAGTAAAAACAAATTATTTTTAAGATTACTATAGGTCAAATCAAGGTTTATATTTGATAATGCTGCCATCTCATTCAAGTACATTTACATTATAAGGCTATGTCTTTTCAGACGTCCCATTTATCCCATATTACAGTAAAAGAAATTGGGAATTCCAGTTTCTTGATTTAATCACCAGCCCTACATGAGCTCTTATCACTTACAGAAAGATTTTATCTCACCTAAAGAACACGGAGGCAGGTGTCTGATCTCAACTCACCACTCAGGTTCTCTGTATAGTCAGTGGTGAGACAAAGGCACTTCCAGAGAACAAGGTAGGTGGGATGAGTCAGCCCATGGAGATACCTCTCTCTAATTATAAAAATTATTTAGATGACTCACTTAGTCCTGATACTGCAGCTGGGCAAACTGGATCCCTCCTACAGCTGTGCTAGCTCAGACAGGGGTGAGTTCCCTTTACTCAATGCATAGCCAAACAGCAGGTGCTCTGATCCCTCTCTTGAATGACAATTGTTAGAACAATTACAACCTTATGATCATGTTTTTGATAAAAACCAACGGAAAAAAAACCCCCATTCTTACCAAATTAAAGGTAGCACTAAGAGATCACATAGTTGACTTGGAGGGTACCTATCCTTAAATGGAGAGTTTCCAAAGACTGATACCACTCAAGTAGACAGCAATTCCAAAGGCTGATGTAATTTGTGTCAAGGCAACCTCTCCTAAAGATGGCGTGATTTATCTACACACAGCATTTGGCTTTGCCCTTACTAAGATGGCAGACAGAGGATGTTGGCAAGCTGTGGAGTTTTGCACTTCATGAAGCATTGCTGCAAGCCCAGTTTTCAACAGAAACATGAGAAGCTGTGGTTGATCTCCAGTATTGGTAAAGGCCACATGAACAGTGCAGAAAAGGCTTCTGAACAAGCCTCCCTTCTGTTATATGAATATTTATTTGGCACTATATTAGCGCAAAAGTGTGTGACCTGAAGAAAAGGTCTTCATCTGATGCCACCCTGCTCAGCTATGTGACCTTGTGTCTTCTGGGACTGAAATTTTGGGATGTTTGGTCTCACTCTGCTTGAAAGATCTCCAGCAAAAACGATGCTCATCTCAGCCCCAGAATAAACCCCCGATGATTAGTTTGTACAACTACAAACTAATATTCTCCTCATCTCACCAATTGTTTTGGCAAAGTGCTTTGGTCTGCTCCCTTCTTGAAAAAAAAAATCTCCTACCAAATTACCCCTTGAAATAAATGTGTGAGGTGAGATGAAACCTTATTTTAGTCTAACATCTACTTTTTTGACACATCTTACACAACTGCAGGAAACTGCAGGAAAACATCAATAAGCAGGAGAAAGAGGATACTCCAGTTACTGACTGAATCAAAATCTACTTTGAGACCATACTTTTCTACAATCATACTGCTCTATGCTTATGGCACTTGATCAGGTAAAGAGGCATACCAAAGCAAAAAATGCAACAGCAGTGGAAGGCTGAATGTTACTGATATATCTACATGAAGAGAATAACAGACATAAAGGGACAGTGTGACACTTTTCTTAATGCTTTAAAAAAAACCCAAACAACGGGTGTAATCCTACCGAAGGTTTACCATCATCTCCAAGACAGCGTGAAAAAGTAGCTGTGGGTTACTTACTGAATTGCAATTAGAGTCTCAAGGCCCTTCAGACCATTCCCTGAACCTCACCAATTAGCGTTCTTGTTCCTGAAAAATTCATTCTGAAACATCAAGAGGACTCCTTCAGCCAACTGCATGCTTTAAATAATACCTTCATAAATAGTTTCTCTAATTGAAAATGTTTTAAGAATACACAAAATCATGAAAGTGAGTATCGCCTGAAACAGTATTTTGGATCTGCAGCATGGCCTGGTTTCCAACTAACATTCTATTAACCATATCAATATGGGAAAAATAATGGAAAGGAAGAAATGCCTGATTATGTCATGAATATGTCGCCTTCTGTGTAAGAGCATCATCTCTATTATAACTAGCATGCAAGGAGTGGTTTATTATTTATTTATTACCTCCAACAATAGAAAACCCTGGTAGTGAAAGATTTGACATGTTGCCTCAGACCCAATCTTCCAGGAATTCCAGCAACCCACCTCCAACAGCTGTTTCAAAGATCATGCAAGGAACTTAATTAACCATGCAAGGATTTGAGGTGAAAGTCTGAGTCAACCCTATCACTCATGGCTGCAGAGGCAGCCCAAGAGCAGAGCATCAGCTCAAAGGACAGCAGCTCCCAGTTAAACCCTGCTAAGACCTTCTCCAATTAAGAGCTATTTTCTTTACAGTCTGACATGCACTTCACTCTCCTGTCTCATTTAATGAGACACTGAATATCCTGAATCTTGCACAGATCAAAACAGGAAAAGTCAAAGCCGTGAATTTGGCACCTTTAGTCAGATCCTTCCAGCCAAACTCAGAGAGGCAGCAACACAGAACATGTCAACTGCAGATCCATAGGTTGACAAGAGTTTCAGTCCATTCATTCCATGATCTAGGCCTTGGGAAGGCAAAAAATGCAAGTGGTGCCAGCATCCAATATGAAACTTTGCCTCCCACTGACATTACTTCCCCACAAAGACACACTCGGCAGGTGCCAATTTGTCAGCTCCACAAAGAGCCTGTATCTCCCCCTCTCAATCTTCTTCTTAAGTCTACCTTCCCCTCATAATCTGGTCAAATGTCCGCCTCTCCCACACACCAGAACCTTGATTAGCAAAGGTAAAAATATTAAGTTTGGCCTGAAGAATCTTCTTGTCACTCTCTGAAGCTCCCCTGAGGCTTCTAAGTGAGTAACCACAGCAAGAATGGGGAAAAGTCTTCCACAAGAAAATGAAATCAAGACAAGGTATAACAAATGTATTCGTACAATGTGGAAAACCCCAAATGCAACCTTTCAGTGATATTTAGATAAAAGGACATTTCAGCACCAGAAAGTGGCTTGCTTTCTTTTTGCTTTCCTGTCCACAGATCCAACTTAGTTGCCGATAAGTTTGTATGCCACAAAATTTCTTCTTGATTCTTCCCCACTATGAACTTCAGCAAACTCAAATAATCTAAAACCCCAATTTTACCTCTTTAATATATCTGAGTACTTTTAACAGGAAATTGCAATTTAGGCCACTTAGTTCTCTGTGTAAATTAAAACTATTTGTCTATATTCACAACAGTAACACAATTAGCATTCTTCTTAACGAGACATTGTTTTAATTTCGCTTGTCATTCGTAGTATTTTTATTCCTTTAGTGCTTCTAGGAGCACAAAAATACACACATCCAGAGGTGGAAGTGAGCATTTGCAACATACATGTCTGTTAGCTAAAAAAGAAAAAGCACAGCTCTGTTTCACCTTGCAGAACAGTATTTAGCAAGTTGAACATACCCCAATGCCATGGAAAATGCATGAGTTTTGCTGCAGTGAAGTTTGAAGTCCAATCCTCTCAGCCTCCTCTGTGACTTTACCAGCAGAAACTGAAACAGCTTACAAATGGTCTTTAACCCCAAATTAACCTTTACCCAGTTCACAAGAAATGTGCTGTGCTTTAATTTGTGGTAAAGTTTCCTGTGCACAGGATGACTTCTCTCCCCATGACCGAGGTTCTCCCACTGCCTACACTGACATGGAGAAGCCCATGAGAACAGGGGACATGTTTTCTGTTGAGGAGTTTGGACTGGAAACACTTCTCTGAATTTGATTGTCCTTTCAACACCCTCCCAACACCTGCCTCTCCTAGAGCAGTCTTTCATCATAACCAAGAAGCTAACAATGCAGAAACACACTACTCTGGTTGGAAAAAACAAAGAACTTAACTCCTTCTCTGAGCTCCTCCTGCTGCAATAAAGAGTGAGGTATTGGGAAAAAACCCAATGAAACAAAACCAACCAACCAACCAACCAACCAGCCAACCAACCAAACCCACAAAAAACTCCAAGCACCCCCCAAAACAGAAAAAAAAAGAAAAAAAACCCCAACCCTACCAACCCTAAAAGACACAAATAAACAACCAAAACCAAAACCAAACCAACCAACAAACAAAAAAAACCCCAACCAAACAAACAAAAAAACCCAACAAACACAAACCACCAAAAACTTAAAAACCACCAAAAAATCCAAATCCCAACACTTTATGACCTGAAATGGAGATGAACCAGAACACATAACATTTCCTGAAGATTTCATACTGCTGTTGATTACACATCAATGGCATTAACATATTCTTGCTCATACAGGCAAGAATAGGGGGACCACAGACAAGACAGAGGGATAAAAGCACTGAAACGAGATCTCTAATCAGAAGTTTTGGTCAAGTTTGGATTACAACAAAATGTCTAGGGAACTACCTGATCTACCTGCCTCTAATATTCATCCACTCCACAGACTAACATAGCACTAATTAAT